CCTTTTGCCATCGGTCGATCAGAGAAGTGCTGCCCCAACTTCCAAACCAGCCAGAATGTTTGAGACAGGTGCCGAGGGACCCTGAGCAAGACACGTATTTGATGGTTGTCGGTGTTACCATGAATGTTCAATGGGCATTGATCCATATATTGACATACTTGGGCTTGCATTGAATGGATTCAATGGATCTATTCGATCTTTTCACGGGCGAGGAGCCAGAAGCCACTGGCATGCCCGCGGAGGCGGGTTGCGGCAAGCGGCAAGCCTTTCGCCTTGGTGCAACGGATTGAGGGTGTGGATTTCTTGCAGGGAGCAGTGTTGCTATATGGCCATGACCCACATAAAGGTCAACGGCCGATTTTTCCCCCAATTGGAGACGTTGACATGCCCCCCTTTCGATCTTTGCCAAGTTTCTTGGCTTGAGAGAGCCAGAATGAGCCAGACTTGTCTGGATATTGTTTGTGGCATGCGGTGTCTCCTCACTTAGGTCACAATGCTTCCAATGACATGTGTATCCAGGGGAAGGCTAGCCGGACAGCTCCCTCAATCGTTTGGCAACGTTGTGCATGCTAGTCGCTGGAATCTCACTCACAGCATTCAGAAGTGGAACCCTTTCCTGCTGCAGCGCTGAACAGACCGTTTATGATGACCTGCTATGACTTGTTGGTTGTGTCCTTGTGTGCAACATCCCACCTGAAATGCATCGAACTACACCTGGCAGTGTCAGCCAAATTTGATCTGGATGAATCAGCTCTGAACCAAGCACATATAAGTTGATGGACGATGGGTATCAGTTTCCTTTCCGTGCAAGTGAACGCATCGAACTTACTGTATACTCCCCCCAAGTTTACAAGCAGTGTGTACTGCACTGCATTCATTGTATGTATGCGTCGGCTTTATTCTGTGAAAGCAAGGTTGTATAGATCAATGGTGGCCATAAAGCCAAGCTTGGTCAATTCAAGCTGTCTTAAGTTCTCAGGGTCTATCCCAGATTCTATGGTCCAGCATGCGGACGAATAGATTTCAACGGAGCTTGGGTTCAAAGTAAGCGCCCAAACCACATAGATCGCGCTCTCTCCGGGGGCCTTTGACATGGGAATCGTTTGGAGCGGATCCGCGCGAAGGCCTTGCGGACCCGAGCCTCACCCTTTGAGGAGTCCCGGAGAAAGCCAAAGAGGGGGTACCTCTTAGCAAATGGTGCAAACCAGCGGAGCTACATGCCCCTTAGAGCCCGTATTGACAGAATGTGGCTGTGTTTGCCAGTTTGTGTTGGAATTTCCTTGTGGTCCATGGCAAAAAAACAAAGTGACGCTTTCCTCCTTGGAGGCCCCCCCGAAAAAGAAGGGGCGCAACTGCAGCTGACTATTGGAAGAATTGATGTCTTTCCTGGTTTTGTTGCAAGGGGAGTTAGGTAGCTGTTTCCAGGCCTTGCCTGAGCCTGCTAGAGATCACAAGCTTCTGTGTGGTGCTTGTTGCTTGTTGTTGGCATCCGCCTTGGGCCGTCAAAATTCTTTGGTGCAGGCTCTGATTTGACATTTCTCATCTGGTGGCTGATCAAAAGCTCTCAGGAACATGGGATGACCATTGGTTGCAAAACCACTGAAAAGATTTGAATTGCAGCCACATGGGAAAAGTTACCCATGGGCAGGACTGGGGGCCGAAGGGAATATTGACCAACCCCAATTTCTCGGCTTGGCACCACCCGTTTCTTGGCGAGCTAGCTTTGTCTAAGCCGCGCAGGAGCCGCAGGCGGGATGTGTTTCCGGCAAGCGGGGCTCAGTGTTGAGGGAATCAGCCAGTCCCGGAGTTGGTTGGGTCCAAGCCAAAAGAACACTGTCACTGCTTGGAGTGTTTCTCATTTTGGCACTTCAATTACCCCGTCACGAGACCCCAAACAGTGATAGGCGGCGGTCACACGCTGCAGAGTATTGTGCGGGCTGCGCCGCAAAACGGCGGTTGTTGTCAGGAAGCTGCAACATCATTTTGCGGTATTTGCGCGCACATTCACAAAGACAAGGACACGGCCTGGAACAGACACGCGCAAGAGAATGCAGCAGACACGTGTCGAAGCCAGCGCCATGGTCGTGTGTGCGTGTGTGCGTGCGTGCGTGCGTGCGTGCGTGCGTGCGTGCGTGCGTGCGTGCGTGCGTGCGTGCGTGCGTGCGTGCGTGCGTGCGTGCGTGCGTGCGTGCGTGCGTGCGTGCGTGCGTGCGTGCGTGCGTGCGTGCGTGCGTGCGTGCGTGCGTGCGTGGTGTGTGCGTGTGTGTGTGTGTAAGCATCACTACAAAAGGCAAGATCTGTGTGTTTGTTTCACCAGGGTGCCTGAGTTAGTGAGTTAGCTAGGTAGCTTCTTCCTTTGTTCTCGATTGTGGCGCTGTTGCTGTTGCTGTTGCTGCTTTTGGGTGTTGTTGTTCAAACCATCGAGACGCCGTCGCAGCACAGAAGCACCATCCAAGCATGCCCAAAGAAAGGGAAACAAGCTCGCGCGGACAGGGCGGGAATCGAGCCCGGGACCTTTCGCCGGAAACCCGTGCCGCCGGACCACGAGACAAAAACGGTCCCCGGAGCCGCCAAAAAAGCAAAAAAATCGAGTTTGTGCGAGCCTGCGCAGTCGAAACGCACTTCAACATCAAGCAAGAGCGAATCTGCGGTAAATAACGCGAAAACAGAAGTCGGTTTGTGCGAGCCTGCGCAGTCGAAAACATCAACATCAAGCAAGAGCACGAATCTGCGGTAAATACCACGCAAAACGCTCGCGGACAGAAGTCGCCAACTCACTTTGTGCGAGCCTGCGCAGTCGAAACGCACTTCGACATCAAGCAAGAGCACGAATCTGCAGTAAATACCACGCAAAACGCTCGCGGACAGAAGTCGCCAACTCACTTTGCGCGAGCCTGCGCAGTTGAAACGCACTTCGACATCAAGCAAGAGCACGAATCTGCGGTAAATACCACGCAAAACGCTCGCGGCCTGCTGAAACACAAGCTCTGTGTGTTCGTGTGTGTGTGTGTGTTCGTGTGTGTTGCGCAGAGTTGTGTCTTGTGTTTGTGTATGTGTGACCCCTTTTTTTCTTGTGTTCGTGCGTGTTTGCCGTTGTATCTACATATATATATATATATGAGTCAACCTCAGAATTATCAAAGACCACTTTATCAACGGCGTTTCATTCAATACTGGTTTTTTGCATTTTCCTTGGAGAACGATAGGGGACTCACAAAAAACGATACCCCTGAACATGGTTTGTGCTGGACCTTCGAGCTGGAGCTGCCGAAGTCTAACTTGTGTACCGTGCCTGTACTGAAAGCTGCGACTTGCGACCTGGAGGTTGCTGCCAGCAAGCAAAAGCCGCTTAGACTGACACGTGACCGCCGCAAGCTGCGACCTTCGAGCTGGAGCTGCCGAAGTGTAACTTGTGCACTGCGCTTGTGGTGAAAGTTGCGACTTGCGACCTTGAGGTTGCTGCCAGCAAGCAAGCCGCCAAGACTGATATATGATTACCGCAAGGCAGAGAAGGCTATTGTGTGTTTGCTTGGCTCTAACAGCTTATGGAAAATTGTGAAAATTTTCGTCACGCGACACACGCCCAGAACGATACCCCGGTCGATACCCCGTCGATACCCCGAGCATTGGCCCGAGTTGCAAATGTGAGGCCTAGTGCATTTGCTTACAAAAGACTACGCGTGTGGTTCCAGTGCTGTGTTTGCGTAGAAAGTTTGTCGGGTGCTTTTCGAGTTCGCGCGGCGCTATAGGGGTTTGCGTAGAAAGTTTGTTGGGCACGCGTGGTCACCGCGAAGAGGGTTCACCGGGCACTTTCCAAATTCGCACGGAGTCGCAGCGAGGGCGCTTTGACACGCGCAATCCTCGCAGAGGGTTCATTGGGCACTTTACGAATTTGCACGGCGCCACAGCGAGAGCGCTTGGGCGCGCAGGATCACTGCAGAGGGTTCACCGGGCACTTTCCAAATTCGCACGGCGTCGCAGCGAGGGCGCTTTGACACGCGCAATCCTCGCAGAGGGTTCATTGGGCACTTTACGAATTTGCACGGCGCCACAGCGAGAGCGCTTGGGCGCGCAGGATCCCTGCAGAGGGTTCATCGGGCAGTTTTAAAATTCGCACGGCGTCACAGAGGGTTCGTCGGGCGCTTTACAAATTCGCACGGCGCCACAGTGGGAGCGCTTCGAGGCGCGCAATCCCTACAGAGGGTTCATCGGGCACAGCACGAACACGCGAAACGTGGAGAACGATAGGGGACTCACTAAAAGTAGAATGAATACACCCCACACAGCAAATATAGACGCTGGCTCATATATATACATATATGTTTGTCTGAGTGTTTGTGTATCTGTGTTAGCTTGCTTGCTTGCTTGCTTGCTTGCTTGCTTGCTTGCTTGCTTGCTTGCTTGCTTGCTTGCTTGCTTGCTTGCTTGCTTGCTTGCTTGCTTGCTTGCTTGCTTGCTTGCTTGCTTGCTTGCTTGCTTGCTTGCTTGCTTGCTTGGTTTTGTTCTTTCTTTCTGTCTTTCTTGCTTTCTTTCTTTCTTTCTTTCTTGCTTTCTTTCTTGCTGTCTTTCTTGCTTTCTTTCTTTCTTTCTTTCTGTCTGTCTGTCTTTCTTTCTCTCTTTCTTGCTTGCCTGTGTGCTTGCATGCTCGCGTGTTTCTGTGTGTGTTTGTGTGTGTGTGTGTCTGTGCGTGTGCGTTTGTGTGCGTGTGTTGAATTATTAGTGGAGAGTCTGCCTGCAGTTGATATCTCTCATAGCATCAATAAACATATATATATATATATATATATTCCTTGATAGTTTTGTCGGGTACTTGTCATACTATGAGCACCTAGCAGCTTGTGATACAATGCTGCTGTAGTGGTCAGCGTGCAGTATGGTCAACAGTTGGGCGTTTTGAGAAGTTGTAGACCTAACATGTATGAACACGAACCAGTGCAGCAGCTTGCTGAAGTTGCTTCTTGCGGCCCCACAGCGGACTCAGACATAATGTGTTGACCCTTATGGATGATAGCTCTGGTGAGTTCTTGACGGAGTTTACGCCTTGGGTGTCAGGCGGAGGAGGTCGCTCCGGAGGCCCGAGCGTGCCGAGATCTGGACCCTGGGAGTTGCTGCGAGGATCTTTGGCGGGCCAATCTCCCCATTTTGTGTGAACTTACTCGAAGGAAATCGCAACGGCCTACTCCCCAGCTGGTTGTCCCATGTTTCTATCTACGTCTGCTTGTTGTGCCATTTCAGGGGTTGATTATTGTGTTGTTGTCCCATGCTTCTGGGCACCTATTCTAGTGTTCTCCGTCCCTTACAGATTGGTTTGTGCAAGCTTACGGGCTCATTATGTTGCCCCATGTCTCTGCCAGTTGTGAAAGCCAACCCAGCCATTTCTTTAGAACTACTTGCCAACCGGAGACTGGCTCCAAAACGATGCTCATGCTTGTTTCAGTTTCAGCCCTACAAGGTTGGCTTGGGGTTCGGATTGTTTTTGTCTCCGCGAAGCTTTGCGGTGCATATCCAGATGTTTGCAAGAGAGGTGTTGGTTGGGGTTGGGAGATTGTTTGCCAAGTGGTCACATCGTCATTCCTGTTTCAAGTCAGCGTTTGCTTTTGCACAAGAGGCACACAAGCCAGGCTGCAGCCAAAAACCCAAACCAGACCCCGCAGTCAGCTTCAGGTTCATGAAATGAGCCAGACGTGCATGAAATAGCTGGTTTGCGATTGTTCGAGCCAACGTCGCCACAGGCTGCTACGGAGATTGCTGAGCCCTCTGCAGAGGTGCAAGAGGCTTCTTTGCGCAGAGTGATGGTGTTAGCAGATGTTGCGGATGTGTGCGGTTGCGGGTGGTTGCTCAGAGGTTGACCAGTAGAGTTGAAATTGCGCTAGTTTGCCAGGCGCCAGCCAAAGAGCCGGACTTTTTCGCGCAGGCTGGCTCCCTTTGAGGAACTATCATCTCTGTGTGATAAAGAGTTCAATCCGCCACGCACGAAATCTGTCTCGGGCCAACATTGCATCGCGTTATAGCAGATCAAGCGGAAAGGTGTGCAACACATAAACAGCTGAGATGCATCATGCGGACAGGCCGAGGCGGAGACAGCTCCAGAGGCGACCACAGAATGCTGTGTTTTTATCTGAGATGCAACTGGCGAGTTATGGGTCGAACAGTGACAGAAAAAGGTATACCGCTTCATTGTTTCAACACATTTTTTTTTCAGACAGAGGAAGCTTCGCGTAGGCCCGCTGGCCGGTTCTTGAGCGGCCATGATGTTGAGAAACGTCGAGAGTGCTTGTTTTGCGCGAGTGGTTGCCCAACGAAGTTTTGAACAAAAAAACACCATGCAGAATATTCGCCGACTGGAGAGAGAGAGAGAGAGAGAGAGAGAGAGAGAGAGAGAGAGAGAGAAGCAAACAGCGAGGCGGAGTAGTATAGCCCATGCTTGCTTGCAGGCACCAGCCAAAGAGCCCGACTTTTTCGCCGAGGCTGGAAGTTGTTGAATTGGCTAGTGAAATGTTTAAGTTTAGCTTGTCTTCTTGGGTGAAAGGCCTTCATCATTTAGCTTCCTGGTACCAGCCACTTACTGACATACTTTCCTGGTCCCGAGCTGGTTTCACCAATATATGTCTCTTTACAACTAGTCCAGAGCAGACGCGAGTTTGCCATCAAAGCTTGCGCAACGCGGCACGGTTGAGGCTGAGGCGGAAACGGCGCCGGAGGCGCCGCTGCTGTGATGCCAACATATGACATGCTTTACTGCTGCCATATCCATCTCAGAAGACAAGCACACTTACGTGGCACTAGCAGCTTCGCCTTTGGCATGAAAGATCGGGCTAGAGATGGTTTGGGCGATTGTTGCTCACAGGCTGCTGCGGAGATTACTGAGCCCTCTGCAGAGGTGCAAGAGGCTCCTTTGCGCAGAGTGATGTTGTTAGCAGATGTTGCGGATGTGGGCGGTTGCCGGTGGTTGCTCAGAGTTTGATGGGTAGAGTTGAAATTGCGCCAGTTTGCCAGGCGCCAGCCAAAGAGCCGGACTTTTTCGCGCAGGCTGGCTCCCTTTGAATCCGCCACACAAAATCTATCGTGTGCCAACATTGCATCGAGTTATGGCAGATCAGATCGAGCGGAAAGGTGTGCAACACATACACAGCTGAGATGCATCATGCGGACAGGCCGAGGCGGAGACAGCTCCAGAGGCGATCACAGAATGCTGTGTTGTTATTTGAGGTGCAGCTGGCGAGTGACAGGGTGAGCAGTGACAGTAAAAGGTGTACCGTTTCATCGTTTCAACTATTCTCTTTTAAGACAGAGGAAGCTTCGCGTGGAGAAATGCAACTGCGGTTCGGCGCTTCTGCGCAGGCTGCTGCTGACCCGTTGGCTGCTGATCCGTTCGCAGAGGCACAGGCCCGCTGGCCGGTTCTTGAGCGGCTATGATGTTGAGAAACGTCAAGATTGCTTGTTTCTGCGCAAGTGGTTGTCCGACGAAGTTTTGAACAAATAAACCCATGCAGAATACAGGGTCACAAGATTTGACATTTTACATAAAGGAATCAAGGCCAAAGAATCAGTGCCCGGATTATGTCTTTCTCGCACTTGTTTAGACCTTATTCCGTCTCAACAACATAGACATCCAGTCTCTTGCCACGAGGCCGCGTTGGCATACTTTCCAGCACTACGTTGCCTAGTTGGAGGGCTTCAGGATTGCAACCCGCGTATTCGTGGCCAAGCACTATGGCTTACTCTCGCAATGACCTTCTTACTGGCAAGTCCCGCAATGCCCCCGAAAATGCAGCGCATCTCCTGGAATGTAGACATGGGTAGCTCTGTCTCGACACGCGCGCCAAGCATGGCTCCAACCTGGTGGCCGCATCCGAACAATAGCGGCTGAGCAAAGCGCTGTAGGATCCAACCACCGAGGGTGCGCACGTTGATCATGGAAGGCATGCTAAACCACACGGCGAGACATAGTCACAGCCAAGCAACATCTGTTTGCTTGTGACGAAAGCAGCCGTAGCATTGTTTTTTTGTTTGCCCTCCAGGCACACGAGGCGCCAAAAAGAGGTTCGAAGACTTGGCCTCTTCCCCGGCGCAGCTGGCAAGATGGCGGGTTGTCAAGTTAGCTCCGCGCCATTTGTCATTCTCGCACTTTGAGCATGGCTTTGCAAAATGATCGGCGTACTGCAGGCTGTCGCCGCAATGGCCAGGTTTGGGCAAGCGGCGGTGGTAGGCTGGCAGCAGTGCCCGCGTTGGCTGCGCGAAGGGCCTCACCATAGGCGCGGATCGGTCTCGCCTGGCAAGGAAGAAACAAGGCAAAAAGCCACCGTACTGTGTCGCCTAGGTGCACATGCAAACTGCTGTCTGTGGGGTGGGAAAAGGCGTATGGATCTGGAGGAAGACCGCGCATTGAACACAACAGGCGGGCGCGTGTGTAAACGTGTGTCAGAAGTGGGGGTTGGGCGAGAGGGGGCGGGCGAGAGCAAAGCCACCTATACTCGCGCGGGCGCTCAGCCAACCCACGAGAAACTGGATCTTCTGCACCAAGTTTGACTTGAATCACTAACCTGTCTGTGCTCCCATACCCATCACAAGTAGAGGAATGCCCTTGTGCAAGTGAACCCGTAACTCAGCAGTGACCGCTGTCTTGTCTTCGACTTCGCTGGCCAAGCTTGCGCAGCCAAAGTCGTGGACTTTCCGTTTGCAAGCAGTGGCCTGCCACTTGTGTCCAGCTTGAGGCTGCTCACAAGGGAGGGTCCGGTCAAGTTGGTGGTGCCGTAGTGCGCAGATCTCTGACAGGCAGACGGAAAGCCTGGGTTAACCACGTGTGGGGGGGGAGGTTATCACAGCAACCTGCGATTTTTTTGGTCAAACGGCCCTTCTGGGGGACCCCCAAAAAACCAGTGTAGGGCCTACACTGGTTTTTTGGGGGTCCCCTGAAAGGGACCCCCACATGATTTCAGGTTGCAAAAGACGCGCAGATCAGCTGTAGGTCCCTTGGCAGGGGACCCCCAAAAAACCAGTGTAGGCCCTACACTGGTTTTTTTGGGGTCCCTTGCAAGAGACCCTCGATTGTCCAAAAAAGTTCAAAGGAGCCGCCAGGTGGCCGCGCCTGCGCTGTGGCTGTTTCTCTTTGCGCCGGTTGTTTCTGAGAACCAGAGGTGCGTTGCCAACTGGGGTTCACGCCCAAGCTGGTCTGCAAGTGAATGTATCTCCGGCTGCGTTGCCCTTTGCCTCACTTGTGACACAAAATCCTACAAGCAAACAAACCACACTCGCTGCGCTTGTACGACGTTAAAGCAAGCAGAGGGTCATGTCTGCAGAATGAGCCGGAAGCTCTAAAGCACTGACACTTGAGAAATGGCCTGCGCCGTTTCCGAAAACAACGAAGGAGAACCACAGGAAAACAGCGTCCAAACCACAACTTCCCTGAAAGCAAAGCGAGCTGCGTCGCAATTGCCACGGGACACCTACGGTCCCCCTATTCTGCCAGGTCCTGCTTGACATCACTTCACGGGAAACACTTGTTGCGAAGTGACATTTCGTTTGGCAAGGCTTCTTCAGCTTGTTGGATGCTAAGGTGGAGGCAGGCGCCCGGCGCCCCGGGCGCCCGGCGCCCCGGGCACCCGGCGCCCCAGGCGCCCGCCGCCCCGGGGCGCCCCCCGCCCGGGGCGCCCAGCGCCCGGCGCCCCAGAGCCGGCAGAACTCAAAAGATTTCTGCTCTGTTCAAATGGCTTTCAAACCCACGCTTGTGTTTGGGGCGCCAGGCAAAGGTCCACGTGACCTGACAAGCGTGCAAATGCAGGCACGACCCCCCGCTTTTGGGAGATTCTCGGGTGTCTCCAAGCGTAGTTCTGCATCTACGTGGAAGCCAAGACACAGCTTTGCGCTGTCAGCCAGAACAAGCCTCAACTCCCGCCGCCTCCTGACTTCGTCCTGGTGACAAACTCCAGAGCGACACAAACAACTCAATGTCTTTGCCTCTCGGCATTCCGGGACTGCCTCGTCGCACAAGCAGCAATTAATGCTGGCCCTTCCTGCAACTGATTGACGCTGAGCGGGTGGAGTTACTGACTTGTTTGAAGACGCAGGTGAGAGCAAATTCGTTTAAATCAGTGCAAGCAAGGCACGTCATGGAAATACGTTCTGCCAGATGAATCTGGGATGCGCGCGGCAAAAAAAAGGGATCTGGCCCGCCCTTGATGGTTGGCCTTGTTTAATGTCAAACCTTGTGACCCTGGAATAGGCGCCGACCAGATAGAGAGAGAGAGAGTTCGCATGCGAGTCGTTTCCAGGCACCAGCCAAAGAGCCCGACTTTTTCGCCGAGGCTGGAAGTTGTTGAATTGGCTAGTGAAATGTTTAAGTTTAGCTTGTCTTCTTGGGTGAAAGGCTTTCATCATTTAGCTTCCTGGTACCAGCCGCTTACTGACATACTTTCCTGGTGCGAGCTGGTTTCACTGAAATGTCTCCGTACAACTAGTAGTCCAGAGCAGACGCGTGTTTGCGCAACGCAGCACAGGTTGAGGCTGAGGCGGAAACGGCGCCGGAGGCGCTGCTGTGATGCCAACAGATGACATACAAGTACTTTACTGCTGCCATATACATTGCAGAAATAAAGACAATTACGTGGCAGTAGCAGCTTCGGCCTTTGCATGAAAGATTGGGCTAGAGATGGTTTGGGCGATTGTTGCTCACAGGCTGCTGCGGAGATTACTGAGCCCTCTGCAGAGCTGCAAGAGGCTCCTTTGCGCAGAGTGATGTTGTTAACAGATGTTGCGGATGTGTGCGGTTGCCGGTGGTTGCTTAGAGCTTCACGGGTAGAGTTGAAATTGCGCTAGTTTGGCAGGCGCCAGCCAAAGAGCCGGACTTTTTCGCGCAGGCTGGCTCCCTTTGAGGAACTATCATCTCTGTGTGATAAAGAGTTCAATCCGCCACGCACGAAATCTGTCTCGGGCCAACATTGCATCGCGTTATAGCAGATCAAGCGGAAAGGTGTGCAACACATAAACAGCTGAGATGCATCATGCGGACAGGCCGAGGCGGAGACAGCTCCAGAGGCGACCACAGAATGCAGTGTTTTTATCTGAGATGCAACTGGCGAGTTATGGGTCGAACAGTGACAGAAAAAGGTATACCGCTTCATTGTTTCAACACATATTATTTGTTTAAGACAGAGGAAGCTTCGCGTGAAGAAATGCAGCTGTGCGGTTTGGCGCTTCTGCGAAGGCTGCTGCTGAGCCGTTTGTTGCTGACCCGTTCGCAGAGGCACAGGCCCGCTGGCCGGTTCTTGAGTGGCTATGATGTTGAGAAACGTCGAGAGTGCTTGTTTTGCGCGAGTGGTTGCCCAACGAAGTTTTGAACAAAAACACCCATGCATAATATTCGCCGACTGGAGAGAGAGAGAGAGAGAGAGAGAAGCAAACAGCGAGGCGTGTGCAGAGTATAGCCCATGCCTGCTTGCAGGCACCAGCCAAAGAGCCCGACTTTTTCGCCGAGGCTGGAAGTTGTTGAATTGGCTAGTGAAATGTTTAAGTTTAGCTCGTCTTCTTGGGTGAAAGGCTTTCATCATTTAGCTTACTGGTACCAGCCACTTACTGACATACTTTCCTGGTTCGAGCTGGTTTCACCAATATATGTTTCTTTACAACTAGTAGTCCAGAGCAGACGCAAGTTTGCCATCAAAGCTTGCGCAACACAGCACAGGTTGAGGCTGAGGCGGAAACGGCGCCAGAGGCGCCGCTGCTGTGATGCCAACGTATGACATGCTTTACTGCTGCCATATCCATCTCAGAAGACAAGCACACTTACGTGGCACTAGCAGCTTCGCCTTTGGCATGAAAGATCGGGCTAGAGATGGTTTGGGCGATTGTTGCTCACAGGCTGCTGCGGAGATTGCTGAGCCCTCTCCAGACGTGCAAGAGGCTCCTTTGCGCAGAGTGATGTTGTTAACAGATGTTGCGGATGTGTGCGGTTGCCGGTGGTTGCTTAGAGCTTCACGGGTAGAGTTGAAATTGCGCTAGTTTGGCAGGCGCCAGCCAAAGAGCCGGACTTTTTCGCGCAGGCTGGCTCCCTTTGAGGAACTATCATCTCTGTGTGATAAAGAGTTGAATCCGCCACGCACGAAATCTGTCTCGGGCCAACATTGCATCGAGTTATAGCAGATCGAGCGGAAAGGTGTGCAACACATAAACCGCTGAGATGCATCATGCGGACAGGCCGAGGCGGAGACAGCTCCAGAGGCGATCACAGAATGCTGTGTTACTATCTGAGATGCAGCTGGCGAGTGACAGGGGGAGGAGTGACAGTAAAAGGTGTACCGTTTCATCGTTTCAACTATTCTCTTTTAAGACAGAGGAAGCTTCGCGTGGAGAAATGCAACTGCGGTTCGGCGCTTCTGCGCAGGCTGCTGCTGACCCGATTGCTTCTGACCCGTTCGCAGAGGCACAGGCCCGTTAATTACCTGGTTCTTCAGCGGCTTTGACGTCGAGAAACGTCGAGATTTCTTGTGTTTGCGCAAGTGGTTGTCCAACGAAGTGTTGAACAAATAAACCCATGCAGAATAGGCGCCGACCAGATTGAGAGAGAGTCGTTTGCAGAGTATAGCGCATGCGAGTCGTTTCCAGGCACCAGCCAAAGAGCCCGACTTTTTCTCCGAGGCTGGAAGTTGTTGAATTGTCTAGTGAAATGTTTAAGTTTAGCTTTTCTTCTTGGGCGAAAGGCTTTTATCATTTAGTTTACTGGTACCAGCCACTTACTGACATACTTTCCTGGTCCGAGCTGGTTTCACCAAAATATGTCTCTTTACAACTAGTAGTCCAGAGCAGACGCGAGTTTGCCATCAAAGCTTGCGCAACGCAGCACGGTTGAGGCTGAGGCGGAAACGGCGCCGGAGGCGCCGCCGCTGTGATGCCAACATATGACATACTTCACTGCTGCCATATCCATCTCAGAAGACAAGCACACTTACGTGGCACTAGCAGCTTCGGCCTTTGCATGACAGATCTGGCTAGAGATGGTTTGGGCGATTGTTGCTCACAGGCTGCTGCGGAGATTGCTGAGCCCTCTCCAGACGTGCAAGAGGCTCCTTTGCGAAGAGCGGTGGTGTTCACAGATGTTGCGGATGTGTGCGGTTGTCGGTGGTTGCTCAGAGTTTGATGGGTAGAGATGGTAGAGTTGAAATTGCGCTAGTTTGCCAGGCGCCAGCCAAAGAGCCGGACTTTTTCGCGCAGGCTGGCTCCCTTTGAGGAACTATCATCTCTGTGTGTGACAAAGAGTTGAATCCGCCACGCACGAAATCAGTCTTGAGCCAACATTGCATCGAGTTATAGCAGATCAAGCGGAAAGGTGTGCAACAAAGAAGCATCTGAGATGCATCATGCGACCAGGCCGAGGCGGAGACAGCTCCCGAGGCGATACTGCTTCTGTGACGGTCACAGAATGCTGTCTTGTTCAGAGGTAAGATGCTGGCGAGTGACTGGCAGAAGAACGTTTACCGTTTTCTTGTTGAACCTGTGTTCTTTTGAAACAGAGGAAGCTGCCTGTGAAGGAATGCAGCTGTGCGGTTGTGCGCTCGCGCGCAGGCTGCTGACCCGTTTTCAGAGGCACAAGCCGGCTACGATGTCGAGAAACATGTGTTTTCCGCGAGTGACGGATTGTTGAACGTGTAAACCTATTCAGAATAGGCTCCGACCGGAGAGGGAGCGAGTCGTTTGCAGAGTATAGCGCATGCGAGTCGTTTCCAGGCACCAGCCAAAGAGCCCGACTTTTTCGCCGAGGCTGGAAGCTGTTGAATTGGCTAGTGAAATGTTTAAGTTTAGCTTTTCTTCTTGGGCGAAAGGCTTTCATCATTTAAATTATTGGTATCAGCCACTTACTGACATACTTTCCTGGTCCCGAGCTGGTTTCACCAATATATGTCTCTTTACAACTAGTCCAGAGCAGACGCGAGTTTGCCATCAAAGCTTGCGCAACGCGGCACGGTTGAGGCTGAGGCGGAAACGGCGCCGGAGGCGCCGCTGCTGTGATGCCAACATATGACATGCTTTACTGCTGCCATATCCATCTCAGAAGACAAGCACACTTACGTGGCACTAGCAGCTTCGCCTTTGGCATGAAAGATCGGGCTAGAGATGGTTTGGGCGATTGTTGCTCACAGGCTGCTGCGGAGATTGCTGAGCCCTCTCCAGACGTGCAAGAGGCTCCTTTGCGAAGAGCGGTGGTGTTTACAGATGTTGCGGATGTGTGCGGTTGTCGGTGGTTGCTCAGAGTTTGATGGGTAGAGATGGAGTTGAAATGTCCGAGCTGGTTTCACTTCTCCGCCGCCGGCGACTCTTGCCCACAGTTCCGCGTGAAGCCGCGTGCGCAAGAAGCCGCGCGCAGGAGGCAGCTGCTGAGGCCACGGAGGGCACCGAGCCTGCAGAGGCGCCACCAACGTGCGCAGTCAGTGGCATGCAGACATACTGTGGGTGGACGAAATCCATTTCGCACCACTTGGAAACCATGGGAAACCATTGTTTGTTGGTGTTTATAAGGGAATCATCATGCCAGGGATTCTTAGGTGGTGCAGGATTTGGTTCATCCACAGTATTGCCAGGCAGACAGATTCAGCCGTGCATGCGGACATGCGGACATGCACACAGATACCCGCACACACACGCACACAGAGGCAGGCATGCACGTGCCCATGCACGCACACAACGGCGCGCACGCACGCACTGCACCCCCGTTGACAGGCTGAGGGTGAGCCTGCTGCAGAGGCGCCGCTTCTTGTTGGTGAAGTCTCCAGGGTAGGCATGTTTAGAATGCCAGCGGCTTCAAGATTGTAGAACTTGCTGGTCTTGTGGAAGACGTGAAGGATGGATGGAACTGCCCCCTTTTGTCCTTCAATAGATGTGATTCCCATTGTTGCCCGTGCATGGCGTTGTGTTTGGCACATGGTGAACTGTTTACCTGAAAAGTGTTTGAGTGCTGATGCGGCAGCCAGTGCCTACATAGGAGACAATCCAACTACTTCCGCCCATGTCGAAGCAGCTACCTCGCAACTCCAGCATGTGTACGCCAAGCAGCTAGTTGGAGTAACGGCTCGCCAAAGCAGATGTAATGTGACGTGCAACTTGAGGTGAACGCACAACTGTTGCTTTTTGGTAATGTGAGGCGCAAGTTACGGGCAAGTGTGCGCGCACGTGCCTGGTGGCAGTTTGCGTTCTTGGACTTGTTGGAACGAGCTTTCTTTGCGTCCCATGTAACGCGACCCTTTCTGAAGTTCCGCTTCACAAACACATCGGCAATCAGCCTCATGCGAGTCCCATGCCTTTCAATTTAGGCCTACAAACCAACATCAGAAACAGAGGGCAAAGCTCCTGACCGAAGGCAGCTACACTTCGAGTTTGGAAAACTGTAAACAGACACACACACACACCCACACACACACACACCACTAGTTGAAGCAACAGGACGTCTTTCAACATCTGATATTTTTTGTTTGCATAGGGTTTGCGCAGAGCGTCCCAGTAGCGAGGTCGAAAGTCGGCGTGTGTGTTCTCCTTCCCATTTGTTGGTTGTGGTTGACAACGTTGGCAGACCGCACTACGCATCCGTACAGTGAATCCAACGATTTTCTGTTCAGCCTGCGCTGAGGTGCTCGCAAGAACCTGAGACAATATGGTTTTTAGTCTTTGCCCATTTCTCCTTGCAGGGTGATGAAGGGGACGAACTTGGGCATGGCTTCTGACATACTTGTCGAATGGGCTGATCTCTTCCAGCGCGGGTGCTGACCGGAGGGGCACTTCTTCGCGATATGTGTTATCCCTCGTGTTTGTTTATTTTCCTTTGGGCTGTCTTTTTTTGTCTGGCTTTTTGCAACTGGTTGTGGCTTTTGGCGGCTTTTGATTCAGGATGCACATGTAGAGTTATGTGTATTCATACATTCAGAACTATGTGTGATATACATGACATTTCGGAGTGATCGACGCAAGGTTGAGTCGGAGAATAAACAATTTGCCAAATAGCGTGCTCACATTGAGTCACGGGAAGTGCAGGTCGCTGATACGCTCGCGGAGGCATGGCCCAGCTTTTTCCTTCCCTTTGGATACCAGTACCATGCTGTTTGGGGCCGTGGGGAACCAGAACCACCCCCGGAACTTGTTACGATGCAGACTTGTTTGGGACGGCTTTGCATTACTATTCCTTTAGCCTTGCTCTAATCAAATTATCTTCCCATCGGTGGAAGTTCATTGACTTGGCCCGAGCTAGAAATGCGTTAGCCCAACCACCGCGCGGGAAGCAACCCTGCCCAGTGCCAGAGTTGAAGCCTGGCTCATTTGTGTTCCCCCTTCAGGCTCCTACCGCTCCGGAGGCGCGTGATATCGCGTGTTGCCCTATGTCAACCACGGGCTTGCTCGAATGAAAAACGAAAGCTGCAAGGCTGCAAGGCTGCAAGGTGGTAATTCGACTGCACGTGCAATCAACTTCAGGACGAGTCAGGTGGACTTCTTCCAACCTCTGAGGTGACCTTTTCTGAGGGCGATTGTAGAGCACTGCATGATTTGCGCGTCCAAACCGCTCACCCCTGCTTCTGTTCAAATTGTTCCTGGCCAGCACTGCGTATGACGCAGTTTGGGTTTTCCTTGTGTTCTGCTGAGGTGGTTCATGTTACCTTTCTTCTAGCATTACAGAATTGCCTTTGCACCGAATGGGCAGAATAAACCATTCAGTTGGAGGACAACAAGCGAAAAAAGGTAGGTCTACAGCAGCAATTTAAGCTCGCTTGTGTTTGGTTGCAGTATTTTTTTCGCATGCAGCAAGGTATCCTGCCGTGGTGCCACGGGAAGGGATTAACAGCGCAGGTCACGCCTTCGCCCGTGCCGAAGGCTGGCATAGCACGAGAAACGGTGCAATCTCTAAGAGTCAGGTGTGCAAATCGAATCAACTTCTGGCCGTTAGTTTGGGCTCATGTTAGTTTGGGCTCATGCATGTTCACGATGCCCAAGGCAAGCCTTCAAGCCCTTCCCATGCTGTTTGGACCAGCTAATTTCTTTAGGGTTGGTTCCTGCCTCCAATGAGGCATGAAAACTGTTAGATAAAGGGGCTTTCTATAAGGGAGTGTTCGAGTGATGACACAGAACAGCAAGACTGCTCATGGAAGTGTGGACAATTTCCGACCCAATTGTAAGATCTTGCAAGATTTTGCGCGTGTGAGCTGCTTGTGGTTTCTTCTCGCATGCTCACCGGAGCGCTTCAGGCACCCAAGGCCGGCAGCCCAGTGGTGAGCCTGTACTGATCAAGAAATCTCGACCCGGAGACAATTGGTTTCGCAAGCAACTTCGGATGCACTTGATATCATCCTGTTGGAGAGCTTTTCAGAGGGAAGGCAAAGGGAAACAATCACATTTACATTTTGAAGGAACTGAAGGAAGGGGCCCATGGCTGACAAGTCATTGAGCCAACCATCAGTCAGAATGCAAGCCTCTGTTTTCCAAAAGCGAATGGATCTGCGCAGGGTTCTCTTGAATGTCAACCACCTCACCATGTTTTTTGCATGTTTCTGGGCGATTCAAGCATCATTTTGGCATCATGCAGGCACTAGCCAAGTTAGCTTTGATGTTGTCAGCAAGCTCGAGGTGCTGATTAGAGGTCAGACGGGCGTGCAACAAGATCATGGAAGCATCCTGTTCCACGGTCTGAATGCGGAGAATGTCTTATCGTGCAAGTTGAAAGTAGAAAGTGTGTTTTTGTTCGAGCCAAAGGCAGCAACTGATGAATCAAGTAGATGGTTGAGTTAAGTGACTGTTGTTTCGGCTACAAGCACCTGCCCACGACATTAGTGGTCCAAGCGGTTGCGACAACACATCTCATTTTATCGAATAGGACCAACACTTGCTGTTTCAAGCGCGTGGCTTCTTTCCTTCGCATTCAGAGAGAGCAAGCTACCCCTGAAGACAGTCTACAGTTATGTGTAAGGTGCCATGCAAGACAAATGCTGTAGGAATTGAGCACGCGTTCTGTTTGTGTGTGTGAATGTTAGAACGCATATTTGCACATTGGCATGGCGTTTCAACCCAGCGCCCAGGTTGAGAAGACTCCGCAGAAGTCAGATGATGGCGCGGTCAGAGCGCTGCCAGTGACAGGGCCCTTTCGATTTGGTGGTTTTCCAGCGGACTTCGCACTAGTGTTGCGTTTGCTCAGGTGCTAAGCGAATCAACAAGATCGCAGTCATAGTATGAGTCGACAACAGCCCTTAGTCAACTCATCTGGACGTTGCATTTGGGTGGCGTTCTCCAAGCTATTCTGCCTGTCGAGCAAAGGGTGTGTGCGAACTCAGTGGAACAATTGCAGCTTGCAAAGTTTTTTTCTTTTTTTTGTATGCCTCGGAGTTGGAAACCATTTGCATAGTTGTGTCTGTGCTAACCTGACTTCTGCACCGGGTGCATAGCCCCCCCCCTTGCAGCACTCTGTTACAAATGATCAAACAACTCACCTGGATTCCCAAGAGTGGCCATGCTACTGAATCTATCGGAACCGCGAGCGTGCTGGAAATGATCTGCCTGGGCAAGGATAGTGGAGGGGATGGGCTTGGGATAGTCGATGTGGGACAGGCTGGAACGCCGACTTTGGATTCGACTCTGAGGAGGACCTGGTGTCAGATGCGGCGGCAAGGTACCAGCACGTGACCATCAGAGATTGCAAGTTACCAAATAACTGTTCCGATTGAATGTGATTTGGGCAGTTCTTAGTCTCAGATCGAATCAGAGAGGCCTTTGATATTGCCTGGGACGATGTGATAGACAGGTCTTGTAAGTTGTGTTTCTCACATTAGTTGGATTTCATAGTTTGTTCCAACGCGTATGAACCATAGCAATAATTTCTTTTGAACGCACTTGCTGCATGATAGTGCATAGTTCAATTAAAAGAAAGGCGGACGTGCTAACATTGTGTGCTGCGAAGGCCCGCGAAGGCCGCAAGCCAACGGTCCGCAAAGCCACCTCGCGAAGGCAACCCTTCTGCAAATTCTGGCCCGAAGCGTAGGCTTCCCAGCAGCATATACTCCCCGAACCACGAAGCAAGCACTGCTTAAGTGACGATAGGAGAATACCCTCCGAATACCCTCCTGAAGTTGCATCCTCAGTGCAGCTTTCTTCCAACGCTTACAAGGTGGTGGGCTGGCTTTTCAAGAAACACCTAAGCGCACGAGTAGTTTGAGATTCCCTCTTCTTTTGTCAAGCCACATGGTGGGGAGTTTACATATAGATCATCGTGTGCTCTTGCACTTCAAGTATGTTGATTCGAAATCAACAGCTTATCATGTTAATTTTGAACTTGTGCGATTGATTATTAGCGCGTCAATTCCCAGAGCCGGATTTGGAGTGTGTCCCGCTTGTTCCTGCTTGCGCATGTTGCAAGTTATGCGCTTCACCTCAACATTCGACATCTTTGGAACATGCCACGCATGGCCGCATCATTCATGTGTGTCAGCAAAGCTTGGATTTCACATGGAATTCGCACCAGGCTTGAAGCACCATTGCTCAACGTGCTTGCGACAAGCCCATCACAAAACCATCAGGATTGTCCACATGGCACATTCTGGCCTGCTTGGGGTTCGTGTCAAAACCACAGACCCTTGGTGGGTACTAGGAAACGGACACCAAAATGCAACTATCCATGTGGATGGGGTCGATGTTTTTGACTTGTGCCCATTCAGTCTACTCGGCGCAAGCGGCAAACGGTTCCACTCAGAAGCTCAAAGGCGACCGCCCGGGTTCGTTTGCCAGGAGGCAAAGCCAGCCAACGGGGAGTCCAACTCGTCTTGGGCGGCGGGCTCAGATCGACTTCTCGGCCTTTAAGGGAAGATATGGGGGCGGGTCAAAATGAAACTACCAGGGGACTGCAGGTTTTAGTCCATGCGTCCATTTACCAGGGTTCCCAAATGGAAACCTATTTTTGACCCACAGCCATATAATTAGATGCTGAGATGAGTGAGAAATAAAATGGCCGCAAAGCCAGAGTATGACGAGCCTTCGCCAATTAAGGCATGACCACCCTTCATGAACAAGCCATAGGTGTATGTTTATGCATCGCTATGATGGCGTGCTCTTCCAAAAGTGCCAAATAAGCAATCAATCAAGTAAGCACAAAGAAATAACTAGATAGATGCAGCAAGCAGGCATGCAAGAATGAGTCTAATCAATAACGAGAGAACGAACAACAAACATAAATAAAGTCATCAGTAAAGAAAGAACAGTGACGAAGGATATGTAGAACGACAAAGTGGATGAAATAAATATATAGACAAAGCAACAAACACAACAGTTACAAACAGACATGAATGAAGAAAGACGGTTTTAGATAGGGAATGGAATGGAGAAAGACACATGTACATGTGAAGTATGTATGAGGTTCGTTTTTACGTAACCGTGTATAAACACGTCCATTCGTATATTTACTTTCGTTCACGCGTGCCTACCGACGCACATGCATACGTACACACATGCATTCGTACCAGACACATGTACGTGACAGACAAGCTATATCAGTGAGGTAGTTGCCTTCTTGCCAACAATTTACTGCGAATGTCCATTCTCGAAATCGCCAGATCATGCTCGAGCGCAAGGTGCCGGACTGGGGGGGGGGTCCTGCGTGCTGTGTTCTTCTCGTGGGTTTTCGTGACCCCGCACTGGCAGAGACCTGGGCAATAAGACAACTTGAAGTGAAGAGGGATCAGCTGGCCTGACCTTCAGCGTGCGTGTTCATTTGTTTGTTTGCATGTTGTTATTATTGCGTGTTTGTGTTTCCATCTCTGTGTTTGTCCTGCTCCACTTCGAGAGCAGCTGCTGCCGCACAAAATAGCCAAACGTGTAATGGGATCACGTTGAAGGCGACATTCTCTATTATTTGAAATAAGGAAAGGAAAGGGCACGCGGCACCACTTTAAACAACTGGGTACACAGTAGCCACGGCAACTTTTTTCTTTTCTTTTTTTCCGAGAGCACTCGCTTCACTGCGCACGCAGCTTACATGGCCAAACCGGCCAAGCACGCTTGCACATCAAAAGGAACCCCGGCTTAATTTGTATTGTTTACTGGGATGACGTCCTACTGTATCAAGATTGCATGCATGTGGTTTTATTTGTGTGTGTGTGTGTGCGTGGCTGCTTGTTTCTAAGGAGGAGAAACTCTCACGAAAACCGCATAGCGTTTGTGTTCGACTTGTGAGTCAAAGAATGGGGCCACACTGGTGTGTTCCCGTTTGTAACGACACTTGTTCATGGCTCGTGAGGTAAGGGTGCCCAGAGTTGCCCAGAAGCTGTGCTCCGAGAGCAAGTGGGCCGGGCCCAGGATGGCTCGATTGCCTGGATTGACTTGAGGCCATACGAATATGCTTTTGTTGGCAAAGCCTAAAGCGACCTTGTATGCAACGAAGCTTCACATTGTCCAAGCAGTAAAATCCCTCCACGTTCCATGATCCGGTGGTTGTCGGTATCCACTACCAGCTTCTTTCTAGTGCCCTCAAACGGCGGCCATTTCGAAACAATCAACGGAGGCCACTTAACTGAGTGTCGGCCGGAAGTGGCTTTACCTTGTGTGCCCTGGAGCGTGCAAAGTTGTTCTCTCAAGCGAGCTTGTAAGCAAAAGCGCCCCCGGCGCCTTGCGCAATAGTATTCAAATGTGAGTGTCAATGTGTGTCATTTGAGTGTCGCTTGCAGGCGAATCGAGGTCACTTAGGTCACGAAGAGGCCACTTAAGGCAGTGTCCACTAGCTCGTTTGAGTGTCATTCGAATGTCTACACTCCGCAAGGTAACTAGGAACCGCTTGGTGTAGCCTAAGTGACCTTAATCTCGCTTAAGTGACCTGTTGAAATCCAGCTAAGTGACCTTGTTTTCAAAAAAAAACGAGGTCACTGAAAACAAGCTGGTTCTCCGTGTTTCATGTGTGTTGGCTCGAGGAAACAACCGAACCGGCTTGAATAATTTGCCTCAATCCTGAGTGTTGTTCTCACACAGTGTCTCAACGACTCCACATTGGCTGCGGGTTTTGCCTCAGGAAGCCACTGCAGCGCCGGAGGTGGGTTTGGGGAACGGGGGTGGCATCTCACAGTGCCAACAGGGGTGGCATCTCACAGCACCAGGGCTGGTCAGAAACTCAGAGGAGTCGCTTCTGCAAGAATTCAACTTTGGCCCTTGCTCACATGGCTTTTGTGGGGAACGAGTCAAAGCGGATGTCTTTGAGGCACTCTTGCGCGACAACATAGTCATGACCCTAGATACAATGTGTTGGCTTGTGAGCGCTTTATGTTGACAATGTACAATGTTTTGGATCATTTGGATTGCCTCAGGCACATCACACCGTGTGCCAAGTTGTTTGAGCACTTGACGGACACCAGGCAAGTCTATGTGACAGGCACACCCTGTGCCCCTGTGCTAGTTGTTCCTTCACGAGTTGAACTTTGTTGGGAATATGTGCCGAACTGTCTCATGCGCGCCCACACACACACACACTGCACTGCACTGCACTGCACTGCACTGGTTCACGGATGCGTGGATGCCCTAGTAGGGCTGTGAGGCAGAATGGAGCTTTAAGGTTGCGTTCGAGAAAACTCCTTACCAGTGTTTTGCCACAAAGCGCGGGGTGTGATGTTTGACTGTTGAGGGTGCCTCTTTCGACGCAACTGAGCAATGCCCGTGGCGCTCATAGGGACTGGACATTTGCAGCTCAAAGGCGTGGTCCACTGTCTAGGCAGAGGTTCAAACACTGTGACCCAAGTAACTTTTTCGCAGGCTGCGACGGAGACGGAGGCAGGGACACAGGGAGGGGCTCATTCTTTTCACGTTTCCCTGTTTAAGCTTCTGCGGGAAGCCAACATTGGCAGAGCCTTCTTTTTCGTCGCCTCCGGTTTTGTGCCAGGGCCCACGGCGACGTCTGGGCGCCCATACCCTCATTTGTTTTTTGGCTGTTCAGCCTAGCAGCAGCTCCACAGTCAACACCAAGCCAGCAACAGCATTTTGCCAAAGACCAATCAACAAGTTCAGCGATATGTGTTCTGAGCGGAGACGGTCATGACAGGTTTTTGCTGCGAACCCTCATTCATTGGTCCGGACATTTAACACCTGCGGCTGATGGCTGTTCATTGCGCAGCACATGTTGGAGCGTTTTGGCGGTTTGATTTTGACCCTTGAGACAAGCTGATGCCTGTCCAACGGCCTCCGAAGAACACCATTCCGCTTGCGTTTGCCAGGCGCCAGACGCTCCTGCCGGTGAGGCTGAGGCGAACGGACAGCCTTGGAGGTTCAGTTGGCAACGGAAAGACCTTCGTTTTTGGGCAGAAGAGAAACGAAGGCAAGCTTCTGGCGAACCGCTGAACCTTGCTTCTTGCTGCCAACACCTTCTTGTTGTTTCAGCGTTCTTTGCTTGCGATTTTTCTTTGTGGTGTGGCTTTGGCAGTAACGAACACACCAGCCTGGCCATCAGCTTAAGATGGTCTGATGTGCAAGGCAAGTATACGGCCACCTAGAAGCTTCGAGGCTGGAAAAACAGTTTTATTCTTGACAACGGCTTGGGCTAGTGCGATTGGTTGGCACAATCTGTGCTTGGCCGACTGAAGCACGGTGAAGCTGATATCCCCGCCTCCTTTTCCAAGGGCATGCTCAGGTATGGTTCTGGAGGTAGGCAGGCTTATGTGCCAGCACTATGAGCTTTCAAGACAGCATGAACTCATTTTTCAATTTAGTAGAATCCATACACCTGAACATGCCTTTGAATTTGACAGAAACTTCTGCACAAAGTAGCTTCCAGCAGGATGCCCCTTCTGTTTTGAGACACACTTGCACACAGTGGTTAACCCAGTCCCGCGCAGATTTGGTTGGTGTGTTTCCGATGGCAGGATGCAGAAGCCTCAGAGGAGGCAGGGAAGAGTCGCATGAAGATCCTCACAATATCATGCCTGTTTTGCACATGACATCTTACTCATGCGTATGCAAAGTTGTATCTGCAGCTGGTATGCTACTTTCATTAAGCAATGATGCGAACAAAGTGAGTAAGTTACAGGGCAAGCGAGCGAGCAAGTGAGTGAGCGAGTGACGGACCAAGCGAGTATGTCAGTTTGTCATTGAGTTGGTAAGTCAGTGAGTCGCTGAGTGAGTGAGTGAGTGAGTGAGTGAGTGAGTGAGTGAGTGGGTGGGTGGGTGGGTGGGTGGGTGGGTGGGTGGGTGGGTGGGTGGGTGCGTGCGTGCGTGCGTGGGTGGGTGGGTGGGTGGGTGGGTGGGTGGGTGGGTGAGTGAGTGAGTGAGTGAGTGATAGAGAGTTGAGTTGAGTTGAGTTGAGTCGAGTTGAGTTGAGTTGAGTTGAGTGGAGTGGAGTGGAGTGGAGTGAGTCGGGTTGAGGTGAGTGAGTTGAGCGAGTTGGGTGAGTTGAGTGAGTTAAGTGAGTTGAGTGAGTGGAGTGAGTGGAGTGAGTGGAGTGAGCGAAGTGAGCGGAGTGAGTGGAGTGAGTGGAGTGAGTGGAGTGGGTGGAGTGACTGGAGTGAGTGGAGTGAGTGAGCACAGAGAGAGAGAGAGAGAGTCAGTGTGTCAGTGAGATAGGCGTGAGCGCTTCAGTGGGTCTGTCAGTCAGCCAGTGATTGAGTCGAGCGAGCCAGCCAGCCAGGCAGGCAGGCAGGCAGGCAGTCAGTCAGTCAGTCAGTCAGTCAGTCAGTCAGTCAGTCAGTCAGTCATTCAGTGATAAGTTGAGTTGAACGAGCGAGTGAGTCAGTTTGTCGACGGAACGGCGGGTGGGCAGGCAGGCAGGTGGGCGGGTGGGTTGGTGGGTGTGCCTCTTTTTTGTTTGACACTAGGGTTTCTTTTGTTGAAAAATATTACAGTTAAACGTTATTCACTTTCAACAGGGGATCCGTAAACGGACAGCCCAGCTATGGTTGTGTTTGATTTGGAAATGTGCTGCGTTGCTTATCTCTGCACATCTGAGGTTGCGACCGCAACGGACAAAACCTGAGCTGTGTTCACGTTGGGGCGCACGTGGGAATTGAAGCAAGGCGACTTGAAGCATCGTGACAATGAAAGTGATCGATCATTGGAAGGCGACGTTCAGATGCATTTGAGTCAGCATCAAGATTGGCGCATCCCTCCCCTCCTTGAGAGTGGGCTATGAGAGAACATGACTTTGAAGCTTCTCTTTGACCGTGGAATTGGAACAAGTGTATCCTGCGCAACGGTAGTGTTGTCGAGGCGAGCTGAACACCACCTGTTTGTTGCTTATGTGCTCCAGTTGAGTGATGTTGAGTATTGCATATGCGTGTGGCTTTCAAGTTGTTGCCACCACGGACAACCAGGTTGCGCACCAAGCCCTGGCAAAACACCACGGTCGAACACCACCCCAGCATGTTGCTTATTCGAGTTATTGTGTCTATGTAGAGTCATGTCAGTTGGCCTGGCGAGCATCACCGAGATTGCCAGCTTCCAGCTCTCAGCTACAGGCACATTGTTATTGGCTTGAGTAGTAGAGAGACTTGTAATCATGTACTACTCAAGCATGTAAGTCAAAGGGGACCCTGAAAGAGTGCCAGGCTGGCATTGCAGCGGTGCTTGAGGCGGGTTGCAGACGACTGCGCAGAGTGCAGAAGAGGTGGAAAGGAGGGAAAGCAAGCGCGAGACACAGAGATTGAGAGAGAGAAACAGAGAGAGCCAAATAGACAGAGAGACAGAGAGACAAGAAATGGAGGGAGAAAAAGAGAAAGATAACTGAAAGACAGAGCGGCAGGTGGCCAGGGCCAAGCTAAGCCTAAGAAACTGCTAACCCACCAAGCTGGACCTCGTGTGAGAAAACGTACTGCAACCGGTCAACTAGAGCTTTGAGACGCAAAAGCAGACCAGAATTCACATGGGTGCATCAAATCTTCAGCCTTTGATACCGCTCAAAGTGTGCGACACGGGAAGACCCGATCGACCGGAAGTGGGCAGACAACTGAGTTTCTTCTCATGCTGAACCCTTGTCTGTATGCTAATCCAACATTAGATATTGCCTAAATTATTGACCACGGATCGCAAGCACGTCAAGGTTTCCGCTCGCAGGCTCGGCAGGTTTGCCTACCGGTCGTATCCCAATCTTCCAAGTTGCCTTACTCAGGGCGATCCACCCGCGAACCCACGCATTGGAGGAATCGCAATGGCCGCTCACTAGTTGTGCGGCAGCAGGTGATCGGGCTTTGCTCAGCGGGGTTCCTGTGTCTTGTTTGCCTTCAGATCTGCTCATTCGCTTCATGGGCTGCCAGATGACTCAGGGACTGTTCTCGACGAAGGGATTCTTTTCATCCAGTTTGCCCATCAGCCCACCTTCAAAGTTGTACCGAGCCTCACTTCTGGGCCCAGAGGTTTATCACAAAAGATGGGACTCAGTGTGGAATTTCTTGTGGACATCTGCGCAACTCGGAGATTCTGCAGAAGGCATGTTCACCCTTCGCTAGGCGACCGGGCCCGAGGAAGTCAAGGCATGGACAGCTTCCGCCGCGTGTCCTTGGAGTTGGTAAGTTCCGGAGGTCAAACACATGTCTGGCGAAGTCGCGCTCCGAAATGGGGAGCCTTTAAGCTCACACCCACAAGCCATATTCTTTCGGAGTGGGGAAAGAAGGGCAAATGGTTTCCTCTGCCTCCGGCGCTTCCTTTGGCCAAGTTTTCATAGAGTTTATAATGCATGGTTCACTTCTGTGCGGCAAGGACTGGACATTCTTGCAAAGGACATGTTTTTAAAGTCAGGCACCCAAAAGCACCCCTCGCAGGAACATGTGTTTGCGTTTTCTTCTGAGAAGACAACCTCACTTTTTGATGCTTTTTGATGGTTTCTGAAAGGGACACCAAACACAAACCAAGCCCTTGCTTTGAATCTGATTCATCTCGATTCGCACCCATGTGTTTGGCTTGATGTTTTCTCTAGTCAGCATTCAGGAATTCTACCCTGAGCGGGGACGCGATATTGTTGCTTGTTGGCTAGGGCATTTCCAAAAATGAGGGGGACTCGGCCATCAGCAAACTGTGGTTTTCTGTTGGTTTGCCAAAAGCTAAAAGGGCGTCACAATTGTTTGTCCCCAATGTGAGGACACCCCAACTCAACTTCTAGGGGGTTCTCTTTCTTTGGCCACACTGTTGTGTGCGCCCAAACAAAGCCAGGTCCAAAAAATGAAAATGGGCCAGAGACAAACATGTGCCATACTTTTGGCTTTGACAATGGATTGGTTTTTGGTTTGCCAACGTCCAGTGCATCCGATGTTCCCACGCGTTTTGTGCCCATCACGGCTTGACTTGTTGCCAGGATGCAACACCGGAGGCGGGTACACGGGTACACGGTTGACGTCAACTGTGGAAGTGGGCCTCAATCTTCCATTTGAAGGGACTGGCAAGGAGGGCGATGTTTTGGAGACGGGCTGGTGTCGCTACAAGCGAGACATCGAGGCCACGGCGAAGCGCGGCTTGCGGTTGGAGTTTGGTGGAAACCAGGTAGAAGCACAAACACCGAGCACGCACGCACACACACAAACACGCCTGCCCAGGGAATGCGGAAGTTTGGGACCCCCGTTGCTGGTGGCGTTCAAGGGAATACAGAGCGACATGATCTATGAGGGATGGTAGTGGCCATCATTACCTTCACCTTAAATACGCCGTTTGAATACTGTTGGCTACCAAAGCTTGTTGTACTCGTAATTAGTCCATTCCGACTTTCGCATCAGTAGGATAAGTTGTCGTAGAGTCAAGAGAGGTCCTTTTGGGCCACGGAAATGATTCCAGCATGAAAGAGCCTCTCTTCAGCTTCCCGCCTCGCGTTATTTGACATAATACATTGGTTCCAGAGCCGTCAATGCCCGGCATCGCGTGGCTTTTAGTTTCGAGCGGCGTTGCCGTTCATTTCGCAAGCACTGACCAAAGAGCAGACGAAACGACCAACCTGGTCAACAAGGAGTTTGCTCCGTTGATGGCCTCGGCTGCTAGTGCATCACTGTCAAGTCTCAGTACCCTTTGGTGAAAGAAGGTTGCTTCATGACGGAGCTCATTTGCTAGAAACTTTCGAGCCGCATGCTTGGTCTTTTATAGGCATTTGGTAGAATCATCCAGACATCTGCTAAAGATATGCTTCATCCAAACGTGATACATGCCAGACAGTTTGAGCATATATTGTGGGAAACATGCTATACATGGTACGTCTACAAATGATAAGAGTTCCTAGACATGTGGTGCGAATACTGCTGGAAGTTGGGCAAGACACGCGACAAGCTGTCGGTGCTGAAACGCAGAGATGTGTTCTGTGAGTTGGTGTTGTGCGCGTTACTCGAACGACACTTGTTTGTGTCATCTGGATGCTTTTGTCGCTGTTGCTTGCTCTTACCTTTTCGCACCCAAGGAGAAAAATTGTACTTTGGATATTTGCTGTGAAAGGTTTGGGAGTTGCCAAAAGGCTTGCGAGGGCCGTCGCCCAAACAATGGACCGCAGTCAGGCCGCCTGCTGCATGCTGGTCTGTTCTGTTTTGGTAGCAAGCAGCTTTTGCCGACATTGTTGACATATCCAGTGCTGAGTGCTGTCCAGAAACCCTCCCTAGGGACACATTTCGCCCTTTCGGTGCTAGTTGAGACCATGTGTTTGCTTTCTCCGCTTGTTGGTTTGAACGGTGCCATTTGAAATTCGGAGTGCCAGGCAAATGTATGTCAGGAAGAGGCCTGGCTCGGAGGGAGGGGTGCCTGGGTGTTTGTCGCTGTCTGATGAGTCGTTCTGGCCAAGGACTACAAAAGGTGTTGATGCCCTTTTGGCATTATTTCATGCAGGGGGTATATTTGTAGGTTTTTTGTCTTCGATTATTGTTGTTCCGCATGTTGTTTGGTTATTTGGAACAGTTGCGTTTAAGTACCATCACCCATTCGCTTCTAGAGATCGCGTGGAGTAGGGCACGTGGATTTGAGTTGGTTGGTGCACGCATCAGAGTTCTTCCAATTTGCCTGTTGTGTGCTGTTTCGTGCGTGTGCGTGTGCGTGTGTGTGTGTGTGTGAGAGTGTGCGTGTGGCTGTGTCAGTGGGTGTTGTGTGTTGATTGTTGCTTGCAGCTTTGCACCTTCACAGTTGGACGCCGGGTCTTGCCTCTTTCCTCTGCCGACAGCCCCTTAGCTTCCGGCCCCTGCTTTCTCTTGTTTTTGGGGGATGGTTTAGCTTATATCCTCTTCTGTGAAACATGTGCCCCACCATTTTCATCCTTGGTGAAAAGAAGCGGTCAGGTTCCATCTTGGGTCGAGAAGGAACTGCTCTCATGCGCCTTCAGAAGCCCACTCTCGCATCACGTTGACCCCATACATACGGGGGGGGAGGGGTGTTCCCATTCCCCACGGAACCCAGGGTTGATTCATTTGGGGTCAACGTTACTATTTGATTCCGGCGGTTTTCACGCAAGCAAGTTACGGTTGGTTTTGCGCAGCTCCCACAGTGACGTGCCCGAACCGTTCTGAGCGCAGGCTGCTGAGGCGGAGGTGCGGGGAAGTTTTCAGGGGAGCAACTGTCATCAGGGTTCCGACCAGACGCATCCAGAGATCATTTGCGATTTTTCAGGTGGATGTGGCACATTGATCGCTGGTGAAACAATTTGCCGCGGGTGAGGATTCCAGGAGGTTCCAAGGTCTGGAGCGGCAGGGCAGGGTTTAGAGGTTTCCGACTTCCGAGAGTTCCGGAAGGTGTGGCTCTTGACAGGGTTCCTGGAGAGTTCCCGGAGTTTTCCAGGGGTTCCCGGAGGGTTCCCGTTGTGTGAAGCAGGGGGCGCCGCGAACGAACCAGATGTTGTAATCCCTTGCCGCTGACTGACTGGATGAATGGCAACCGGTGGAACGCCAGGCAGAAGTTCCTGATGAGCCTGAAGCAGCCCGCGTCGGCCAAGCGCATGAGCCTGAAGAGGCCTGCTTTGGGCAAGTGTCCATTAGCTGAATCACAGGCTGACGCAACTGCGATTGCAGCTGAATTGGCGTTTCTTTGCAAGCTGTCCTGATCCTTCGCACTTTCCTCGGCCATCCATCCTAACCACTTTCCAACTATTGGAAAAAAGCGCATCAGAATCATGTTTGGCTTTGTTGACAGACGGGATGTGCCACACTCCAAGGATCTGTGTTCGGTAGTCAATTGTTGAAAACCACTTCCTGCACTTGCCCGAAAATTGAACGACACGCGAACGTTCGGGGAGCACCAACTTGGTAAGATGCTAGAGTCACACAAGCAGTCTGTGTCCATGAGTCCGCAGTGCACTATTTCCCAATGTATAAACGCACCCGGTGAATAAATAAGAGTTTTTGGTTGAACGCATACTAAGCCAATATTCAAGGAATAATATATAAGCTGATACTGAACCGATACTGAACCCATATTAAAGCGAATCGAAACCAACACTGACATTTATTTATACTATTCAAGGTCCTTGCTTGGGCATTGCGAGTTTGAACGATGTTTGGGCCCGAAAAGGGGGGGATCCCACTTGGACGAGGAACGTAGTGGAGATGTATCCCAATCTACCCTATCAACAAGTATTGTTGCGCCCCTGGGAATAGTTGAGAATGGTTGTGCTAGAGAGGGTAGGTGTGGAACAGAATGAGCTGTGGATGAGAACTGTGAGTGTGTATTGTATCCTCACACATTTTGCGAAACAACTTGCTGAGTATGAAGAGCGTCTGCTCCAGAAAAGCAAGAGCAACTCCTCGCACACAAGGATCCCCCCACCCTGAACTAAGTGATGTTAAAGAGTTCCATTGACCAATATGTCAATTGAACACATTGTTTATTCTTGGCTTGTCAGACTGTCTTCAATTGTGCGGTTTGACTTGCAGCGAGCTCAATCAGATCTTAGTCTTAGCCACTAGCATGGACAAACTCAAGGATACTAATAGTTGCTATAGATCCCGGAAATTCGATGCATTTTGCTCTATGATACCCTCCCCCCGATTAACATGGAAGCTGACCGGGGGGTCCTGGCGTTCGCCATTTCCTTTTAAAGGGACCGGGTCCCGAATGTCAGCTTCCATGTTCGGAGGGATCCAACGAGTAGCCAACGTGTTCAACTTCGTCAGCAGATGTCTAGGCTGAGGAGCCTTCCTGCGAGGCGTGGCTTGGGCACTGCTGACCGTATCTGATGTCGTTCTAATCAAAACAAGGATCGTGAAAGCTGGAACAGAAGCCATGACTTGACATCCGATTTTATCTCAGGTCCATGGTGCCGTCTCCAATTTGCTTTGGGCCCGGAGAAACTTTTGCCTTGGCTACAGATACCCCGAAGAAATGCGTCCAGCAGTCCTTGTGGCACAAGGCTTCGTCTTGGATTGCCTGCGACGGGCAATATTGAACAAGCAGACCATAGATCATAGCTCATGTCAGACCATGTTCACGGTGAATGACCCATCCATTTTGCCATCCGATCCTTTCCTGACACGTCTGATCTGCGTAGGTACCGCAGGCATCCGCAGCCAATGGTGAGGCAACTGCTGCTCCGCGAGTGGGAGTGGGGGGGGGGTGACACTGCATTCCGGAATAATTGTTTGGCTCCAGGTACCCGCTTTTGGACCGTTAAAAAACAAGCAACACACAGCGCCGAAGTTCAATTTTGGGCCATTTTGGGCCATTTGTCGGAGAATCAGCCAGCTCTAGCTTGTGTGGTGAGGCTTTTGGACTCGTGCTTAAAGAAGGCATTGCAGCCGCCAAGCTCTGGTAGGTGGCAATATCTCTATATGCACATATATATATATATATTATGATTATTATTATTATTATTATTTATACTATTATTATTATTTATTATTATGTATTATTATTATTATTATTATTGTTGATATTATGATTATTGTTATTATCATTATTATTAGTATTACAATTATTATTATTATTATTAGTATTATTATTATTATCATTATTATTATTATTGTTACTATTATTGTTATTATTATTACATTTGTTTTTTATAAATATTAGTATTATTATTATTAATAATATTATTAGTATTATTATTATTAGTATTAGTTATTTATTATTATTATTATTATTATTATTATTATTATTATTATTATTATTATCATTATTATTATTAGTAAAGTAGTAGTAGTATTAGTATTAGTTATTATTATCTATTTTTATTATTATTATAATAGTATTGTTTTGCATATTATGTATGTTAGTGCGTACCTGCCCTTCAAGTTAGTTGGGAAGGTGGATTTGTCTACTGTGCCCAGCAGCCGTGCTGTTCAACTGTTGTTGGTCCTTATCGCACAAAGGCTGGCTTGTTTTGTTTTGTTTTTTTTGTTGCGGGGGTGGGGACTGCACGAAGGGTTCAAGGCCAATGTACTCGTTGGTATGGGACAATTTGGGTGATTCGATCGTGAGAATCATTGCTTCAGATCTGGGCACGGGGCCGAGCAAACTGATTCAAGCACCCAAGACAGCATTCTAGAGGTGTTTTTATGGGAGAAGAGCGAGGTTTTCAAAACCAACATCTCTGGATGTGGCGTCGCTTCCCGAAACCGACTCAACATCTCTGCCGTTTTGCCAGGCAATGCCTCGCGAGTCCGAGGCGCTGAGTGTTGGAAATCTGTGGGCGGATTCTGTGGGATGCACGTACGTAGGGGAACATTACACGTTGCTCTCCAGTGCGGAACGTCACCCGAGCAAAAGCAGGACGGACATGTTGCTCAAGCACGCGCGTTTGTTCACGCGGCTCTAAGGAAAAGGCTTCTTGAAGCGGCCGACTGTGGACATGTTTGGTTGAAATAGTGGCCTCTTTGTCGTGTTGGACATTGCAGCATCAAGGACAGGCAGCCTGCAGCAACCTCATGCACAAAGCATGATACTCCGCAGTACCAAGATGCATTTGTTGGGACGGCAGAGCGTACACCTTTTTGTTGCACAAGTTCAGGAAATCGCCTGTCAATCAACTTGTGCGCCGTCAAGCATTCACATGATTGCAACTTGAAACTGTCAGGCAGCATTACACAAGCCATCTATCCAACTTGAAGCAGCCATGCGTCACATTGCTTCTTAAACACAATAATTTTCGATGTCTTCCTGTTTCTCAGTTGTTCAAAGCCGACCTTTTGACCTGTTGGTTTTCCCTTTTTGGTCTATTTTTAGAGGTCCCAAAAGGTTAACCTTGTATTTGGAGGTCCTTTGGGCAAGTGAGGTTTTGTTCCAGGGACTCGTTTCGGGTCCCTGATTCTGTGGCTTGGGGCTTCGAGTCCCTCAGAGGCCATGGATGTTGCCTTGGAGGAGTTGCAGCAGCGTCTGCGCGAGGCGTGCGGATGGAGCCGCAAAACTCCGATCCCGACGGATGGAAGTTGTTGCAAGTTTGCGGGGCTCCAGTGCTTTTGCAAGTTCGTGGGTCTGATTTCGAATGCCAACCATGGCACTCAGATGGCCAGAAGGCGCAAACGGAGGCACGGCCTAAGGGTTGCCAAGAAGTCGTGCATATCATATGACCTGAGCACATGCTTATTTGGGCGGTCAAGGCAACCACCCGGGGGTCGTGTAGATCAAAGAGCCCCTGCTGGGGGAAGGGGGGAGGAGGGCGTTTCAAGTACGCTCAAATTGGAACAATGCGAGGCGCAGGCAGTTGGCCTTGCGCAGTGCACGCTTTGGCAGGCTAAGGTTGTTGAGCTAGATGGATGTTTTCATGTTTGGGTTATGACGTTACAGTACGTTGCAGTCACAGTGTCAGGTTCTGGGGGTTCGAACTTCTCGGTCAGAAATAGTCCAACTTACAGTTGCAAAGATTGGCACATGTGGCTGGGTTATACCGGCCCGAGTGACTTGCGGCTTACTTGCCAAGTGAGCTCGCCCTTGCCAAGTGAACTGGCTACATCTGCGTTAGTCACACTCCAGCTCGTCAGCCACTTGCTATGAAGGCACTTTCCGAGTACGGTTCGGACAGGATATGTATGTCAGTGTATGTCGCTGCAGTTCGGCCAAACAGAAACTCAGTAGCTGCTTAGCCCGTCGGACTTAGAACCCTCACCCGCTAACCTCACGCTTTGGCAGGCTTTGGCCGAAGCTGCCTCTCAGCAACGATTGCGCGAGGAGGCAGAGTCAAAGACGCAAGAGGCGCGGACTTGGACAACACCCCCGCAGCTTCTTGATACAACCGTTTTGTTGCCGTCGTTGTTCGCTCGCTATATATGATACATGTGTGTCACGCTTGCTAATATTCTCGATTGCATGTCTCAAATATTTGCCTATTCATGTCAGCGTGCTTGTTTCCTTGCAAGGGTTCCATTCTGGCTGCAGATTGCTGAGACAACAATTATGCAGTTTTGCCAGGCTTCACTTTGGTGCTTCGCAGCGTTGCTAAATCACATCCTGGATGATCAAGGCATTGTTGGAAAACAGGCATCCAAGTCTTTGCGCCACGTTCACGTTGGCACTTCAAACTGCCCGCTGCCCACTCTGTCTTTTGACGCGATCCGCGATCCGCCTATGGCGTCGCAGAAAAGATGGACCTGCATTACGCTTTGGCAGGCCTTGGCCGAAGCTGCCTCTCAGCAACGATTGCGCGAGGAGGCAGAGTCAAAGATGCAAGAGGCGCGGACTTTGACAACAAGCCGCAGCTTGTTGATACAACCGTTTTGTTGCCCTTGTGGTTTGCCAAAATTGATGCTTGTTGTTGTGCTTGCCCACATTTCTCGCCCCGTTGAGATATCTTCACACTTAGCCTTTCTGGTTGAGTCAGCTCGTTTCTGTCGCTATACACAGGTTCTATGGTGGCTGCAAATTGGATATACTGAAAACGGATACAATGTTGCCAGGCAGTGCTCAGCTTGACTTTTGGGGTTTTGCAGTTCGCCGAAGAACGTCCTTAGTAGCATGATCAAAGCATTGCCTAGCGCCAGGCCTTGGCCGAAGTCGCCTCCCAGCAGCGGTTGCGCGAGGAGGCAGAGTCAAAGGCTAAAGAGGCGGGGAATCAAATGACATGCACGATATGGTTGATACTTCGTACCATCTTTGTGTTTTTGTTTATAGCTTGTCAATAATAACACAGAATGACCAGCTTCGCTGTTATTCTTTTGCGGCCGCAGAATGTTTCCACTGCATCGGGTGCTGTACTAGTGCCAGGTGCAGGCTCACGCTAGAACTTGGAAGATGGTGCGACCTTGGCAAGAAGCCAGCTTGTGCTTTCCACTGCACTGGCCAAAGTAGCGAGTAGTACCCAAATGTTCAGCATGGAGCACCCGTGGCACCGGTCGTGGCCTGCGCAAACTTGCATTGTTGGCAGGCCTTGGCTGAAGCCTCCTCCCAGACGCTGTTGCGCGAGGAGGCAGAGTCAAAGGCGCAAGAGGCACGCAAACGGCCTCCGTGTTTCCCGCACAGGCTGCATTTATTTGAAGCCGCCTGCCTTGTAAAGGTCTTGTCTGCAAAAGGTACACCTGGCGTTGTGAATAACTGATGATAGATGAGCAGCGCCAGAATCCTGCATGATGAAAGTGCTGAGACGGTGTGTCCTATAGAGCTCCTGCAAAAGCCCAACCGCAGGCCGCAAAAGCGAAGGTCCCGCCGCGGAAGTTCTCAAAACGTACGTTCTGATGACGGAGAGTTGAGTTGTACCAAGTTTGATTTGCTTTCAAAGGAGCCTGAAAGTAGTTTAACTTGAACGCTCCTGGTTGCCAAAGCGCTGCGTAGCCTATCAAGCCGCTTGTGAAGGGGCTTTAGTGTGGCAGCAGCCGACACGAAAGATACTTCAGACCGCGCCGGTTTGAGACATTGTGCCTGTGAGGCCTCAGCAGAGCTGGAAAAGGAGAAGATTCTCCGAGAGGAGACGGAGTTGAAAGCAAAGGCGCGGCTGCAGGGTCGCATGGTGGCTGCTTTTTGTTTGGGTGCTCTTGCTCCGATGGTGCAAGAAGTGGTGTTTGGTGCCTGGGTGGGTGCTGGCGGTCAGGGGTGAATCTGGTGCCGATGCTGGTGGCAGTGGTGTTGCTGCTTCGGGTGGTGATGGTTTCATCGAGCGTGTGTAAGATCGGTGCTACTCATGATATCAATCTGCCCTTCGCAGCTTTGGATGTGGAAGGAGGGAGGGAGTGAGGGAGGGAGGGAGGGAGTGAGAGAGTGAGTGAGAGTGAGAGTGAGAGTGACAGTGAGAGTGAGAGTGAGAGTGAGAGTGTGAGTGAGCGAGAGCGACCGCGGCCGTTGTGGTGTTTTGTTGTTTGACCAGCGTTTTGTTTGGGAGTGTTGGCTGAGTTGTTTCTGGGCCTGATAGTCCGGGGGACTGGTGATTTCAGCTTTCTAAATATCCAGGTTTGTGGTTGCTTCGATTGCTTTTGCTCCCGAATTTTGGGACACGCCGCATTTGGCTTTGCATTGGCGACACACGACGGCATGGCTGTGTTGTGATGCACCCCTTTACAACAACTGCAGCAACTCATGGAGATTGATTCAAGAGACGATGAGTCGGACATGATCAATCCTGCAGATTTGGTCTAGCCACCACAGAAATGAGCCACCACCGGCCCCGCCCAGGTTTTGAACTAGGCCAACAACAGTATCCATTTTTCCTGGTGCAGGACTTGGCCAACCTGTGTCCCTTTTTCGCATTCGGCTGTCATCATGTTCATGTTGTTGTGGTAGGAGGGATCAGGGGGTCTTAGTCTGGCCAGCTTTGCCTGGTTGAATCAACATTAATAGCGCTCACGTTGTGCCGCGGTGTTCGCAGGCGGCCACCGATAAACGAGAAGTGGAGGCCGGGCCAGTGGCGTTTGTGGTTCTCACCAATGGCGTGGTTGGGCCGCAAACGCCGCAAACTTCGCTTGCCTCATGTGTCTACGACGGACATATAACTAGGTGTCAATGTATGTCCAATGTGAAAGTTTGTCAAAAGCAGGGGCCCTTGTTGGTATCCCCTTTAAAAGGCGACACAAGGCGGCAGGTCGCAAGAAAGGTCCATATGTTTGACAACACCCCATGTGGGAGTCGTCCGCAAGGTTCTTGTATTGAGCTATGAAGGGAAGCTCATTCGGGGCTCCGCGATGGAGGTCAACCAAGTTTATTTGATTTGACGAAGATGGCATCAAATTCAAGCAACTGTCATGTATCAGCGGATATGACAGTATGCAGTCTTTGTATATTATGCGGCTACATAATTATCATTTGTAATTTGTAATCATTTGTATTTAATGTTTTTTTGGTGAGACGTGGATTCCAAGAGCGTAGATTGGGATGTGTTTGCGCCGAGCACCCAATTGCCAGGATGCTCAACTGCCAAGTTAAAGGATTTTGGGCAATTGATTGCCATTTTTTGGGCATCGATCTGGCGCTACCTGTGTTTGTCTCTGTTTCTTTGCGTTTGTTTGACCGAGCCGTGAACGTTGTGTGTCGCACGTTGTTCAACGTACCTGGCAGATCCGTATGTCAAACCAGGTCAACCAAAAGGTATTGTTTGGCAAGCAGACGTTTGTGGGGCTGTCAGTTGCTACATGCCAGTTTCCTGAGTGCCTTTCTGTTTGAATAGCGACCGACAGCTCCGGGAGTCCGGCAGCTTGGGAGCTCTTCCATCTCTTGTGCCTGAATCAGAACACCTCAATATCAACCCCACGGTAGAACCAACCAATCGACCCAGCAACAGGTTCGAATTCATGTGCCGCAATGGCATTGCTTGAGGTGAAGAAGGCCCCGGTGCCCAGCATCAAGTTGGAGGAGGCCAGAGTTGGCAGGGCACTGGGAAAAGCAACGAGACCTTAACTTGATCGCAGTTGCGTTGGATCTTTAGACCTGGACTTTTGAATTCAATGGGTTTTCCATTGAACCCACAAATGGAACCTTTTGCAGAGGGGTCAACGGCAACCAATTTAGCGTTTGACCTGGGGAACGGCCTCAACGTGGATTTTTCCGAAGGTCAGCGCCCCCAGGTATTGGATTGTGGACCCCGAAGGAAAGCCCAGCTGAGCTGATGATGTCCACAAGCGACGTAGAGCGACGTATAATCGGTCAATGGGATTTTGAGAAGAGCGGGCCTGGTTTCCATCCGCAATATTGGGATGCACACTGCAAATCTCTGAAGTCTTTTGGTTTCCCCTAGACTTGCACTAGCTTCAGGGCAGGGATCAAGCAACCGGAACTCAAACACATGTCATAGTCTACGCATCGTCCTGGTGCGCATTGAAGTCGATATAAATAGGGTTCAGGAAGGTCGCGGGGCGTCGCGCTTCGGTCCTGTCCAAAGGGGGTCCCCCCCTTTTGCTGGGCACAACCATGGGGATTGGGATATCCACAATCGAACCAGGGTAGATTAAGGTTAGCAAGGGACAATCCCAGCCAGAATTAGGTGCGGCCGCCGTTGTAGTTCTTTACATTGGTTTGGGTCGGCCATTTTAATACCAGGTTTTGATTGTGACTCTCCTGAAAAAGTTGACGCTTACTTTTGTACAACGGGCTGCATGTGGTAACAGGGGGACTTGGTTGCCCGAAATGACATGGGCCTCACATGGTACTTCACGAAGGGGTCCCCATGTTAGGCGAATCCTAAGATAAGCATGATCTTTCACATACGGCTTTCAGGTTACTTTGCGCGGTTGCCTCGCAGGGATATTCCACTCGCAGAAACACATCGTTGCAATTTGCACCGTGACTGTGCCTCCCTGGGGTGGAGTGGGACCATTTGTAGCTGGGCAATGGTTTTCTCAGAGTTTAGCAGCAAGCGAAGGAGGTCGAAGTCAGAGTTGGTGAGATAGCATGGATCAGCTGTTGGCGACGCCCCAGAAACGAGCAACAGTTGCTACTGTTTCCTCACTGATCAGAAGGACCCATAGGAAGTCAAGGTCACCTCGTCACCAAAAGATATGGTTTGGCACCATAGGCCGAACTTCAGAACGACTCAGCACATGGGATTCTTGCTTGGGGCTTTCTAGTCACGACTTGGCTCTTCGCCCCCTTGCAAACGCCTTCGGAGGCCCAGAAGAAACGGTCGCTTCATTTCTTGCCCCAGCACAGATGTATTGCTGGCTTGCCATGGTCATTGACCCATTGCTTGTTGACTCTGAAAACAGGTGTATGCTCATCAGGAAATGAGGAGGATCCTCATCATATTAAGCTCCCTGCCCCCGTTTTTGTGGTTCCCATCCCCTTAGAACCCACACGCACCTCATGCACGAAACACGGGCCCCAACACTCGTTGGTTTCCTTTGATTTTCGTTGAACCACCATGAAGCACCCATTTTTCACGGCTCCCTGTATTTCCCCTTTTGGTGGTTTTAAGACGTCGCCTTTTGCTGGCCAATTTCAAAAGGACCTTCCTTTTGGTGGGGTGATGCTCAAACGGCAATGGCTCAAAATGTACAAAAATGGCACCTTATGGAACCAAAGACGAAAACCTGCGTGGCCCTGGCTAAACGGGAAATATCGGGAGCCCTGTTTTTGAGTGGAGACGTGTCATGGGAAGCTCGAGCGGCAGGCCACCGCCGAGAGCGCCATCGCCTTTGCGAGCCCCCGGGATTTGGGAGGCGCGCCGAGCCACGATCCCGGGGGTCGTTTCGTTGGTGGTACTTGGAGTTTCGCAAGTTCTTGCAAGCATAGCTGGCTTTAGGTGAGAAAGGTGAGAAATCGATTGGGGGAGTTGTCTCTTTTGGTGCATTTTGTTTTTTGTTTTTCTCGGTGTACCCAATTCTCTGGGGGGGTTACGGAAACCAAGAGGAACACCGCCTGGGTTCCCAAGAAGACCCGGCATCCTTTCTGCCGTCGCGACATGGAGCGGAGTATGCCAGCTGCATAGGTGGCCTTTTCAGCTAAGCTTGGTGAGACATAGATTGGTTACACTGGCCAATAGGGTTTTATTCAAATTACTAGCGAAACCCATCTTCATGTTTTTTCAACAGCTAACCTGTGGGTGGCAATGCTGAACATACCCCAGACTGGACTTGTGTTTTTTTGTTCGCAAGCGTTCCATTAGCTTGGCAAATCTGATAAATGGCTGTAGTCAAAGACACTTCGGATGTTTGTAGGAAGAAGTCTGAACCTCACCCATGTTCTGTTGTACTATTTCCGCGGTTTTTCTTTGAAGTCATCGAAAGAAGGGTCTCCCTGTTGGCGTACAATGCTTGGCTTTGCATGTTTAGAGCACTTTTCCTGTTTGATAGATTTGTTTGTTTTGGGTGTCGATCAACCTAGCAGGAAGGGCAGGCTTCCTAGATACTATCCCAATATTTTGACGGCCTTTTCGCGAGGCGAGCATGTGGCGGACTTGCTGGCTTTGCTGAACAAGTTCCAAGGACAGGTTCAGGTGGTTTCGAAGGCCCGCGAGTGGACGTCGAATACTGCTTGGGGGAGGACATGGGAGGACCCAATGTAACGCCAGCACAGATTTCCAATATCCTCTTGAGCAAGCAATGTTGTTGCCGAAAGGAACTTGTTGGAGCAAAAGGCTCTTGTGCTGTTCCCATGCGCTTCAGCAGAAGGAATATCCAAGAACAACGGTCACCCTGCTGACTGTGGTTTAGTAGGTCAAGGATTGGCAACATTTGAGACATCTTTATCCTTCACAGAATGCTGGTGAAGAAGTTGAACTCCTGAATGCTGGTGGTGAAAACAACTTGAAATTTCTGTGTGGGGTCAAGTGACTCCGTGAACCTTTGCAACTTAATATCTTCGCGGTCTGACAGGTGTGCACGGCGCTTGAGAACCTGACCTTCAGTGACGCTTGGCACTTAGACCAAAGTTCGGTTCGCCCGGACGAGGCGAGTGATGCGTCGGCCCAAAGTTCAGAGAAAAGGTCCATGGCTGAACAAGGGTGCTACCAGAGTTGTCAATTCATTCTTAAAGATGGGCTTGGTCCATCAGCATGGAAGCAGCTCACAGCTTGCCTCAGAACTCGAATGGGTCCATGTGACGGTGGCTGCACCAGTACAGCCGGCGAAGCTGGGGGCGGAAATCTCAAACAGAATGGAGAAACTCTCCTGCATGTATGTTGTTTGCGGTTTGCTCTTGAAGTCAAGTTAACTAGCTAAGTCATGAGCTAGCTAGCCAATAGCTAGAAGCCTATCAAATACTAGCTTGCCAGCAAGTTAGCTAGGTTGCTACTTTTAGCCAGCTGTCAAATTCGCGAGTTGGCGTAATTCGCTGGCTAGCTAGCTAATTTACCGAGCAACAAGTTAGTTTGCTAGTTTAGCTAGTTTTTGAGTTGGATAGCTAGTTTGTTCACGAATTAGCTACCGTCGCAAATTTGCGAGTCAGCCAGTTTGCTGACCAGCTAAGCTTGGTTGGCTGGTCAGCTAGTTCGCGAGCTAGTTGGCTTGTTATTTGACCGAAGTAGTTTGCCCAGCTCATCGCGAGGCGCCTGGCGGTTCGTGGGTTTCGTAGCAACACATTGACATGCACAGGCACCTTAACGCGGGGAGGGTGGGGTGGCTGTGGGTGGGGAAGTAACGTGCGCGGCTTCAAGTACACCAACTTGCAGAGTATGGAGCACTGAATATGCGTTGTGCAGGCGCAGAGACCTGTTGTGTCACATTGCCGCAGTTGATGCGGAATGGCTGCTAGCGCATGTCATTGTGCTGCGGGTAGCCGGAGTGCCGCTGTCAGTTTTGGCGTTGGCTGGCATGGAAGAAAGAGGTTTGTGAATTTGATTTGGCTTACGCAATTTCCTTCGCCTCAGTGAGCTATCAGGCCGCTGAGCTTGTGCTTGATGAGATGTGATGCCAGAAGAGTTTACATTACGGAAGAACACTGGTGCGGATTTTGCATTGCTTCAAGCGTTTGCTGCTTGGTACCGTGCCTGAAAACTACGCCGCGCGGACTTCGGCATGTGGCGGCCTGCTTTTGCGTGCTCCGCACGCGCGTGGACAGTTTGATCGGGTGCAAAGGTTTCACGGCAAGCAGCTGCCGTGTCCGCGCTCAAGTACTCGTAGCTGTTTTGAATCAAGCATCTAGAGGTCACACTCTTGAATGCAAGCTTCACTGACGCCGGGAAAGACAGGCGTTTTTGGACCCAACGCGAGCTGACCTGGTTGGCTTGATTGCAAGTTGGCGAGTTAGCCGGCTAGTAGCTAGCTAGGTTAGTCGAGCTCGGCAGTCAGTTCGCTTTTCAGATAGTTTGCTAGTTGCTAGTTACGTAATTGGATTGCTTGTGCTACATCTTTGATAATGGGATTGCTGCCAAACATACCTGTTATCTTGTTAGCTAGTTCGCCAATGAGACGCCCCCAACGAATAGAACACTTACGATAGGGTTGTGCGAACAAACTGAAAAGCGCAGAAAACAGCATTCTGTTGTTGAGGGCCAACCCCACGAAAGCCGAGCCCCACGAAAGTCCGACACAAACCGCGCCAACAGGTGCCACAGGGTTGCCTGAGCGAAGTGAAAAACACAGAAACTGCAACCCCCGAAGAGTCCGCAGGATTCACCATTTGGTGGGAGCAAATCCGTGCTCGTGGCTGTGCCGGTATGGATCCTTTGTCAGCTTGTGCCGAAGTGTTCCGCACTATCCAGGTGCCGCCATGTTTGATTGGGGACAGTGTGTTGTTCTTTGCACACTCGCAACTCCCTTGTAGTTTATTGAGAAGGGTAGTGTTGGAAGCACGGCGCACAATGACAACCCACTGGGGTGTTGCGATGTTTAGGGCTGTTGGTTTCTTTTGATGCTTTCCCACGTCAGCCAGTCATCGGAGCCGTCATCATCAACGCGCATAGGAGGTAAACCCTATCAAATAGTGAGAGGGGGCTGAGTACTGTGAGGCCCCTTTTGGGTTTCTTCAGATTGTGAAGGAGGACAGGTCGCCACTTTTGGCAAGTGCCACGGCAAGACGTATTTTGCTTGTCGGCAAACTTGCCACCCTCTGGCAACACACCCAGATTTTTAGTTCATGGGGCTATGGAGCAGACTTGGTTTGTGCTAAGTACAAAGAACCAACATGTTAACATGAGGTGATTGGAGGGGCTTGCTAGCAGGTTTTCATGTGTGCGTGTATTGTGTGTATGTGTGTATACTAATATTTCTGTATATGTCAATATGCACTAGAATACGTATGGAATATAAATATATATATAAGTGTTTCCGCATTTGCCAGCCGCCTGATGTCTTTGTGCCTTTGTACCCTCAAGAACGGCAGGACCAAACAACATGGATCTCTGAAAGCATCCTAGCTACATTTAAAGTCTGTATTACTGGGCTACCCCAGAAGCTACTCCTAGTTTCAGGTGCCCTTTACCTAGGGTGCCCTTGTGCCAATTACTCAGTTGCTACAAGTTCAACCATGGTTTCATAAGATGACCACTTATGATCTAGGGTATCCTCCAGTTTTTCCTTTGTTACCATGGTACCACTTTACCACTTTCAACTACAACCACCATAGCCACCACAACCACTTTCAACCATGGCAGTTTACCTAGTGTCCTCTGAAAATGGTTGAACCTGGTCATCTTATAAGACCTAGGGTCATACTTCACCACCACGTAAGACCACTTAATACCCAGGGTCCTCCGGTTGCCAATTGGTCCAATGGACCAACGGTTCTCCCGCCGCGCCCAGGTGGACGTCCTGAGTGCCGTGGTCCAGGGCAGCGGAGTGGAGATGCTGCTCTCCACGCCGGGCGGCCCGGGCGGAATGCGTGGCGGGTCCTGTTGTTGGGAATGACCAAATCTAGGTCCCCCCAGCTAGGTGCCCTTGTACCCCTTTTTTAGTTGGGAGGGTTCCTGCTAAAATGGACTACAGCCAAAAAAAGGGCATCCTGATTCTTTGCTCCTCTAGTGGAGCACCTAGAAATGGATGGTGTGGGGCCCACAAAATGGAGGGTATGCCTTGTTCTAAGGCTTCGTTCCAGCCAAGGTCATGCACGCCCCGGACCACCGGTTGGTTTTTGAAGTTGCAACACTTCTAGGGCTACCTTCCATGTCCCTTCTTTCCAGGAATCCTTCTTTCTAGAAAACCTCCAGAACCCAGGGAAAGTGGCTGGTTTTGGAAAAGAACGATGGTTGAACAGAATGGGGAATCAACCCCTAGCCTTGTGGTTTCCTTTCAAGCCACAAACACAAGGGCTCCCTCAAAAGGAATCACGCACCCATGTGTACAATATATAGGTATAGTAGACATATCTTTGCTCGCATGTATCTACATGTGTACAGATATATTATACAATCACAGGCTAGAGTCACAACGCAACATCATATTTTGGAGGAATGACCCTTTTGAGTGCGGTTGTCAAACGAAGACCTCGGCAGATCAGCCATTCTGAGGAGCCATTATGCCAAAGTGAACTTGGATGTGTTGTTAGCAGATGGTCCACTTTGTGCAAATTTCGATATTGCCCTCATGAAACGGCGTTGCGGATGGAGGGCTTTGATAATTCTGCCTAATAGTACCCACCCATGCCACTATCACAGTTAAGAAGTGAACAACAATGCGTTGGCTAAATTTCAAATTCGAACAGCCCAAGCATGAGGCCATGCTTAACAAGCAACGCCAAACATGCTTGCCATTTTGGGCAAGGCAAAGCAGAAATTGGTGCCCACAAGAATCAGGATCACTCATTAAGAGAGGTCTTACTTCAGGGAATGGCATATGACTTCCCTGGAAGCCCTCTTGGTGCCCCCAAGAACTTCCCTCTACAAACAGGTGTTTCTGGGTTTCATGTTTATTGCATGTTAATTTGTGGGGGAGTATGTATACCAAAGTGATTGTATCAAATGTCTAGTTCATGATGCCCTTTCGCCCACCAGCATGGAGGCAAACAGGCTGAATGCCGGCTCTCGGGTTTATTGAAAGGCTTAGTGTTCAGGTTCGCGTCATTTCTGCAACGAGTTAACCTGGAAAACCAACGGACAACCCTAATCCTGTGTGCAAAGGAAGGGCCAAATCCATATACAGCATCAAGAGCAATCAAGGAGGAACGCCTGACACTTCATGCCACCACTTCAGCCCCTTGTGAATGGCAGGCTGCAGCTGCATGAGGCCGATCTCTGGGTGAGAGACAGCCAACGCGGGTCATGTGCATCAAGCAAGTCGAAAGGGGCACCCCCTTGTTTTGTTTGTTGGCTCCCGAATGATTTGCAGATCCACTGCAGAGATGCATGTAAGTATTGTTGATGCTGCCCGCAATGGTTTGGCGTTGACTTTACGGTGTGTGGGTCAGATGGCTGTGAAGTACATTGGCGTGGATGCGCTTAATATGGAGATGATGCAAATTGGCTTCGGCTTTAGATCATACTTGGACCGAGAGTCTGTATTGGTGAGCTGTAGGTAAGTTGAGGATTTATTTTGTTTGAGGCCGCCGGGCTAGTATTCTACCATGCAGGTTTTGTCTGCATTTGTGGGTGGCTTGGTGAATCCGTATGCATAGGTTGTGCTTGCATTGATTGGTGGCGCCTTGGAGCTGGCATTTTAAGAGACATCGGATCAATTGTGTCAAGGTGTGTGGCATGGCTATATGCACACGGAGTACTTTTGGAATACTTTTGGAATACTTTTTTATGTATTGCTGCGGGTGGATAGACTGCTTGAAATCCAGCTACGCGACCCTAGCAGACGATATAATTCGCTTCGGTCCATGGATGTGTGTTTTTCCTAGATCCATCTAGGCTGACATTTGCGTCTACAATCAAAGACCTGTTGCAGTTGTATGGATGAGACCAGAGGCGTTGCATTTGAGGCCCCCAAAGAAAAGGTGCTCGGCAGATAGCTGATGCTATGAACCACCGTGGCTCACATACTGGAGCCCATGGTAAGCAAGTTGGGAAGGTGCGAAAAGAAGCCGCTCCTCCAGATGCATGCTTAATACGTTTGTGTAGCCTGCTAGTGGACAAAACACACAAGAGGATATATACATATATATATATATATGTGCTTGCTGGGACAGGAATTTGTCAATCAGGTCCAGTCAGGACTCTGGCTTGAAATGTGCGTTCAAGAAATGTGTTCTGCTGAAGGCCACATATGTTGTGGTTACTGGCTGGCTGGCGTGCGGGATGCACGAGTTGACGCAAGATCGTGAAGCTCAAATAGGAAGCCCATGAACTCTCAGCATTTGCAAGTCGCCAGGGGGAGGAGGCAGCTATGCTGAGATCAGCAGTGGACACGCTTTGGAACCTCACCTTCGACGAGAAGGCCCCGATGGGAATGGCTTTCGCCACGTTTGGGTCCCCTACCCTTTTCGCGGTTTCGTTTGCGTGTTCCTGGAGCACCACTTGCCCCCCGCAAAAAGTTGGTGTTCTCGAAGGAAGTTCGACTCTGTTTGGCCGTTCCTGTGTATCTCCAGGAGAGTAAGTGTCAGGTCAATCAGGCATGCCAAGACGCCACGGTTGATATTTGTTTGCCCTAGAGCAAGCACTGCGGCCTGGAATTGGTTGCGAAGAGATGGGTGTGTGCAACCGAGTTGAGCCCACGGCTTGCTTGGGTGTTTTTGGCAACATGATTTCACTGACTGACTCTGCTCCCAGACTGTGCTCCCTCCATGACCTTCTCGTTCACTTTTGTAGTTACTTCCTTTGCGTTATTGTTCAAAGCCTGCAATTGAATGTGGGTCTGCCTTTTTCTTAGGGGACCTCAAAATGGGTGGGCATTCCTCTCGGTTTCGCTTTGACCCCCGAACTCGGCGCAGTCCGTTGGTTTTTTTCAGGCCGTGGACCGCGCTACGGCCTCTGGCGCAGTGGAGCGGCTGGCGGCGGCACCGCCGGCACCGCTTGAAATGGGTTGGGGGTTCATCAAGCTTCCCCTCGGCCGGCCATGATGAGTAACTTCTTCAAGGACCTATCATCTTCTTTTTCGGTTTTCAAACTAGTATCCCATGGACATGAGCTTTTTTGATCATGCCCCATGTGTCAAAGCAGAAACCTTTTGGCTCGGTTTCATGTGAGCCACGATTTAGTTGGCATCCTGAATTAGTGAAGATGCAGAGTCCCAATCATGAATAGGTGCCACTCCAATTCTTTGGGTGTAGGTGCACAGCTCTGATCTCAGATTTTGGTGTAGGCGTCGGCCCGAAATGCCTGGCCTTCAGGAGGGTCCCGACCCAAGGTCCCGATCCATTGTCATACGCAGCTTTAATCACGATTTGCTACCGAGTGCGATACAGAATCATCCATTTTGCCGGCAACACTTCAGAAGTTGGAGGCTCTGCCATGCTAAGCCCAAGAGAAATCATGTAGGATGCTGGGTAGCATGGGCGTGCTGGTCCATTCAACCGGGTGCAGTATTGCGGGCTAGCGCAAGAATTGTATCCAGACTGGACGTGCAGGGGGTTTGGCTCGTGATGGGCCATTCAATCGTGTGTTGATTGACTCAACATAAGTGTCCTTCTTGGTTGTTTTGGTAGAAAATAGGTGGTTCTGGTTTACCTGGTGGTTGAATCATCTACCAAGGCCATCTATTTCCCCTAAAAGGACACCTACGTTTGTATGGAGACTGGAAGCGCAGACGTGTGTGCTGTGTCACAAGAGGATAGCGGCACTTCCAGGCTCATCCCAAACGCTGTCACAGGTAACGTGTTGGTTTCATGCGAGCGATCCTTGTCAAGTGGGCAGCAAACAAGACAATTGCGGTGCCAATTGAAACTTGCCCCCCTCCCCCATGTCGAATCTGTTCGATCCCTGCCCTTTGCTGCACCTTCTATGTGTGCCACAAGCAAATGAAGCGAGCGCAACAGTCCAGCCCCAAAACAAAACGACAGTTGCTATAGAAGTGCAGTTAGTTGAGTGTGCTGGAGACTGATCCACCTCATGGTGAACTTAGTCCCAACCATATTATTTGTATAAAGGCAATGGTGAGGCCATAGGGCGATGCATGTTTCGACGCCATGAAGGGGCAAACCAGCATCCTAAAAAGGGTACCCAACTGTTGCCAACTGATTTCATGCACCTTCTCCCACTCATGGAACCTGACAGGAGGGTCCCTGCAAAAGGAGAATGGTCCACCACAGAACCCGCCCGAAGTCTTCTTTTCCAGGTGAAAAGGGTGGGAAGGTATGTCCCCTTTTTTTAGTTTTCGCAGCTGCTTCTGCCAGGTTATGGCAAAGCACCCCACCGCCGCCGAGTTGCAGGCGCTCGGGGGCAACCTGGGCCATGTCTCAGCCGGGCAGTTTGGTTCTCCCAATCAAGGTGTTCCGTTCCGTCGCCCCGATTCCTGGGTGGAATGAACCGAGTTGGGTGCCGCAGTTAGCTTTTTCAGATCCTTGGACAAATAGTTCTTAGCTGAAACAAGGCGTTTACATCTTTGCTTGCCACTTGGCTAAACAACGGACCCGACAAGAAAGAGCATGGCAAAGGCAAATCACGCGAATGCACGGCATCAGTTCAGTCAAACGATCACGGACTGTGACAATAATGCAAACATTTGGGCAGTTGCGCGTGCAGAGACCGGGTTTGTGCGATGGTACACGGTTGGGCAGGTGTGTGGGCAGCTACCTGAGCACGCACTGTTATGGGATTGTAAACATTGTCCCAAAAGTTTGCTGGCCAATGTCAAACTTTACTTGCTCCTTACCAAGCAGTTGCATCTTGCTAGTCAACCAAGGGCAGCAGCAAGACAGCAAGATGTGTGCCAATGACGAGTCGCATTGTTCATGTTCCGTGACAAGGTAGTTGGCCATGCGGAATCCAGCTCTATAAGTAGCTTTGTGTTCCCGCGCAAAGCATCAGCATTGAGTATCAATTCACGAACCTTTTTGATTGGCAGGGCACTGCTTTGGCCCTCCATATGACAAGGCCCGTCATTGCAACCACAACGAGCCAAAATTGACTCGGCGCAGAATTCTCGTGAACGAGACTCGGAACCAGGTCTTACTTGAATGCATGCTAGGCCAGGCCTTGCTATAGCAAACTTGCAAACAGCTTAGCGATTCCTACTTGAAGGCCACCACAAGTCAACAAAACAAATGTTGACCCCAGATAAATAAATCCCTGGTTGATTTATCGGGGTGTGTCCCCTTTCAGTGGGGATTCAGGCCACTTTTGGAGGGAAGACCCCCCTAGTGGGACAGGTTTATTACTGGGTCAACATTGGCTCTTGTATAGGACATCCCCAGGTTGGATGCTGCGCAGTCTTGCTGAATCTGGCCGTGGTGGAGCAGAACCGCTACAAGATCGTGCAGGCCCTTGGGCTGGGCATGACCCGTGGGCTTTTCGCGCCATTTGGGTCAAACATGGGTATCCATTTTGGAGCCCTAGTTACTAGGGAACCAAGGACTAAAACCTGCGGTTTTTCTGGGCTGGTGCTGAATCTTTTTGACCCATACCCATAAGGCGGGCGAAAGAAGATGGCAAAGAGATGTTTATGCCGGCAAGTAAAGATCATGACGTCCGAAACACTCTTGTATTGTTTTATGTTGTCCTGTGCGGGCTTGAGCTTGGTCTGAAAGGGTGGAATGAGACCTGCAGGAACACGAGTGGGATTGTTTGGGCCGGTCCTTTCCAATCCTTGTGACAGCTGCCCAAGTGTACTTTGCATACTACACTTGTGCTTAAATATTGCTACTTTCGAGCCGGAGCTCAAGTGTACTTCGACGTACTGGAGCTCGCTTGTGCTCACAAATTGCGGCTTTCGAAGCGGAGCTGCAAAACACCGCAAGACGATTTGGAGGAAGTTACGAGAAGCCTGACAGGGATCGAACAGGGTACCACCCCGCTTCTATACTGCCCCAACTGCTGTAAATGCGTTATGACCAGCTTGGCAGGATGCAACTTTCAAGCACCCTCCCCCTCTTTAAAGCAAACATGGAAACGGGCTGCGCTCGAAGAGAGGTTCCAATAATCCTTGGATGAACCCGCTGTCAGGTTCCATGTTTGGTGTTGGGAGGGTGAGAATGACAAGTGCTGTCCTCGAGCGATTGCAAAGTGATTAGCCACACAGCTGGGCAAGCAATCCTTTGGGAATAAGGCAGCCGGAATTCTTGTTGTCCTTGCGCAGTGGTACCTTCCGTATTCTGTGAAATCCACCCTCAAACGCGGTCAGGCTGGCTGTTCCATCTGCTTGCGGCCATGTTTGTCTCGCCTTGTTGGAGACCAAATTTCACAAGCTTGCACGACTTGACGACTTGTAAACAGGTGCATTACAATATGGTTGTTTCATGTTGCTTCCTTTTTGACTTTTTACCTTCTGAATTTGTAGCCAACAGTAGAGCAGAAGGCCAAGGGTGAAGCAAAAACTGCAGGAGTCAAGGAATTCAACAAGACTCAGGGCAAAGCCGGAAGTTTGCTCTTACGGTTTCTTCGCAGAGCTGGACTGACCACCCCGTGCCAGTGTGGCGCTTGCTCGCTGCTGGCTTCAGCTGTGGAGACGCACAATGGAAGTGAGGAGGTGGCGAGCTCAGGATGTGCGCAGTGGGCTTGTGTTGCGAGCCATTTGCAACATAGGTTCTGCGACATGAGTCTAAACCAAAGCCGAGCTTGCTGGACGGAATGTGCTTGCATTCAAGGAAATCAGCCACAGGAATGTATGGAGGACGTTCGCCAACTCGCATGCCTTCGCTGGGTGTTCCGACTTTGTGTAGAGTTTCCTGCATTTGGTCAAGTTGGTGAATTGGATTTCCGTGATTGTGATGCATCAAAGACTTGGCTTATCGGAGGTGTGTTGCAACTGGCCCAGGTGGTGGAGCACGGATGCCAGGCCCTGTACATGCTGGCGTATCACAATGAACTGAGGCTGGGTAAAACGCTCCTTGAAGACCTTGAGAGACGTGTGACATGAAATCTGAAAGGAACGTGGCGAATGCAGAGCGCAGTGCGTTGGTCTTTTTCGCCTTGGTAGATGCTCCACCAGACCGATCGTGTTGCCACACGCACATGCCACGCACATCATGTAGAATGAACATCACTCAGAGATGATTCTTGCATACACCCACATTATGCATGAGCCAAAGGTAGTATGGATCAGTCTGGTCATCTTCGCCAGAGGTATGTCATCGGTTGTTGAGCTAATTTTGGTCCTGAAATACGTGATGCGTGTGTGTGTGTGTGTGTGAGAGTTGTGCGTGTGCGTGTGCGCGTGTGCGTGTGCGTGTGCGTGTGCGTGTGCGTGTGCGTGCGTGCGTGCGTGCGTGCGTGGGTGCGTGGGTGTGTGTGTGTGTGGTTGGGTGGTGCAACGCCACGACAAAGGATATTTTTCACAAGTGGACAAGCCGTGCCTTGATTGGGTGCTTTGACCCTTCATGTCTTTCTTGTTTGACACATGCTGAACCCTGATAGAGAAAACTCACATTGAGCGGAGTGTTAACCATGCCATGTTAAGACGCGCTTGCCAGCAGGTCTGGATTGAGTATGCCCAAAGTGTTTAATGTGTTTTGCGCGTGTGGGTGTGTGGTAGGAAGTTTTGTGTGCACAGCTTGAATGTTTTCTGTGTGAATGTCGCAAACAAAGGAGGGTTGCGTTGAGCAGGCGGTCAAACAAGAGACCGGCAGATAGTAGTGCCATGGATTGACGAAATTAAATCGAAAAGGATATATCGGGAGTTGGCTTACACATTGCGTCGACTGTTAAACAAAAGACCTGCAGATGTTATAGTCCGATGGATTGACAAAATCAAAAAGGGCATGTGCTTGGGAATTGTCTAGCATGTATTGCGCCGTCAGCATGGCAATGTAAACGGAAGAATCGTTCAAGTATATGCTGCGTTCTGGATTCGCTTATGATCTCAGTATTGGGGTCCCAGGCCCATGTGGAAGCCCTAAGTCTTGCAAGTTGGGAAGGATCCTAAGAATTCCGGATTTCTTTAGCTTTAGATAAGCCGGTCTTCGTCTTGCTCAGCCATTTATTGGGATGCCTTCTTTTTTGAAGCAACGAGGTCGACTTGGCAAGAGTCCTGCAGGCAAGAGTATGTCAGCCAGGGGCTTCAGGCAAAGCCGTTGGAAGATCAATATGACATGTGGCTGTGGGTCAAAACCAATGGTACTCGTACCATTTTGGGGTAGGTGCACCACCCATTTTAGTCTATTTTAGTGGGGATTGGGATGTTCACTGAGGGTACGGGATTTTATCCCATGGCCATGTGCTGAACAGTTCCGACTTTTAAAGCCGGAGTACTTCGTGTTTTGAGATGCAAAAGCGAGAAAAATAATGTTTTGTGTTACAACAAAACCGATAACTGCTACCCGATCCCCTTAGGCGAACCAAGAGGATTTGCATGTTACTCATATCTCTGCATCCCACCTGCAAGATTGTTTGTTCCCACCTGCACCATTGTCCAATTCGACAAAGGTTGGGTTGCTTTGCCCAATTTCGGTGTTCCTTTGGTTCTTTGCCCGCAAAGATTGGGTGGCTGTTTCGCCTTGCCTCTAGAAATCCTCCCACCGGAGCCCCGGCTGGGGCCTTTTGGCTCGGCGATTTCCGGTCGCGAACTTCGCCAGGCCCATGGTCCTGGCGAGCCGCGGGGCGGAGGCGGCCTCCTGCGCCGCCAGGCATCGAAGCTTCGTGGAAATGGGGATATGGGTGAAAAATGAAACCAGAAAAAACTGGACCGCAGGTCAGGTTTTGTCCATTCCATTTACCATAACCCATTTCGGGGTGACCCTATTTTTCGACCCACAGCCAAATACTTGCGATAGATGCGATTGATGCAGGGAACGAGAAATGGAATCCCGAGAGAAACCATCCAACTGGTTTGCTTTCAGGGAATTCCCTCCACTGATCACCAGCAACCATAGTCATGTATGTGTGTAAATATGAATGTGTACCTATAGTTTTCATGATCCTTACAAAATGGGGTCACTTCCTAAAAGAAAAGGTCATGGGCCCATTGTTAAGGGTTCATGGAGAATCCAGGTATAGATAAATTTATATGATACTTTCATGGGGAGGACTTGTAGGGGACCCTATCGAACTAAATGTGTTGTATATACTACTGTGGACGGTTGCGAAATCGGTTCGCACCATGAAATGACTGGTTGAAACCAGAAGGTTTTTCCCTGGTTTGCTTCCAGGGAATCATCAGAATCCAGGGTTTCTTATGTGTTTCAGCTTTATAGACAGTTATACATATATATATATACATTCACACCACACATAGGCACCACATATAGGTCTATGCGGTCCCTCACATTATGGTGTATATATATATATATACATGTGTATACATACATGCTTACACTCATGCATGCATGAATAAATACAGGTCGGCAAACAGGCAGACCGAAACACAGACAGACAGGCAGACATCATACGTATGTACAGAGAGAGAGAGAGAGAGAGAGTGAGAGAGAGAGACAGGAGGAAGAGCAGGCAGACAGACATACATACAGACAGAGACAGGCAGGCATGCGAGCAAGCAAACAGGCAGACAGATGCAAATGTACACCTAGATATATAGACCAGAATCAGTGCAACGAGGTTTCCCAAACGCAAAGATTCATACAGTAGGTAACGCTCATTTGATTGATACATAAGCTAGGATCTGCACTCTTGGCCACATGACTGGTATTTACAGTGAATTTTGAACATGTATTTCCTTATCCTCTCGCTTAAACATTTGTCTCCTGATAGGTTTACTTTAAGCAGCTCTCACATTCAGACATGTCAAGGCAAGATTACCAAGGCCAACATCTCACATTTACAAGTTGACTCTCTCACTTAATATATGTTTAGTACTAGGCGTTTGTAGCTGTATACAGAGAGATATCGCTTAAGTGTCTTTACCGCCTGATCACACTTCACCGAAGATTTGGTCATGTTCATGTAGAAGGTGAAACGGGACACATGTAATGAACAGGGCTGCTACTATTTTGGCATGAGTAAACACACACAGCGATAAGTTATTCAACAATTAGCCTTTTATACAAGAAGTACGGTTGCAATCCTTTACTAGAATAAGAATAATGAAGCATGATGCACTGCAATGTAATCAAAGATACTGCTCAATAGACGCCGCCAGTGCAAACAATATACATAGACTTGTATACTAAGAGAACGAAGCCTAAGCATACACAAAAGGTGCCCTGGAGAAAGAACACCAACAAAATACGCCAACAGCCACACCCACACATCCACCACCTGCGCCCCCCCACACCCACAGGCACGCACACACGGGCACACGCGCCTGCAAAACTACACATCCACATACACAAACTTTGTTCACAGATTGCAGGCAGAAGCCATGATGCTTTTGGGGCTTCGCCTTTTAAGGATCCGAGTTTTTCCGAAGATGTCTCCAAAGGCCCAAAGATGTGTTGGTGTTTCCCGGCTCAAAAACAACCCATTCAATTTCGGAGGTAGCTTCTCTCTAGGTGCCAGGGGCCGCAGACGCAGAAGTGGGGCCGATGGCTACAGGAGGCGGGACGTCAGGATTTGTTACGGCTTCCAAATAGGATACACAAGGGAGTCACGTGCTCAAAACTCGGATAATTGGACGTTAGTAGGGGATAATCCACTTGTCATGATAATCCACTGTTTCAATTCTTTACTATTTTAATACCGGATTTTGATTATGACTCAAGTAATCCCACTATTCGAAGGGTAGATATTGCGGAAGCGCCCATACAAAAGTTGTCACACATGAGGGGACAGCCACCAAGAGTCCTCTGGACGCAAGCAACCTTTGGAGCAAACACGTTATGACGTTCGGGCGTTCAGTGCAAACGTGCACCTTGCGCCCTGAACTTTGGTAAGTCAAACTATTATGTTTCTGAGCGCAGAAAAGAATGAATATTGCCCCTGAAACACAATGTGTTTGTCGTGCAGTGGCCGTCATCCGTAGGATGTTGTTTATCCTGTCAGTTCTAACATGTAAATAAATTAGACGTTTCAAGAACATGCTGCAATAGCATCAATGTTCAGGGCTGTTGAGCAAGTTGTTTTTTCTTGTTGCCGTTGTTTAAGCCTCCCTTGGGCCTTGGATGATTTACATGATTGAAGGTTCCGAAGAGAGTTCACGGCTCCCACTGGCCAATCGCAATAGTCTGTCAGGGGGTCAAAGAGAGCCTCAGACTGTAGAGGTTCAAGCTCTGGAAACATCACAGAGCCAGCGGTGCGTCACTTGTTTTTACATGCGGAGTGGAAAGCCTGAAAACTTCTCCTTTTCGGTCATGTCTAGTATTGTTACGGAATCTCTATCAATCAGTGTGATTCTCAAAGTCAGGCTGTGCGTTGAGAGCATTGAGAACTTCTCGTCCAAAATGGAGAAGCCCACACAGCCTGAAATCCATGGGAGTCGACGACGCCCGCAAGGTCCTGCAATCCTGAGGTTGCTGCTGGATGGTTGCTTTGCCCGACCTGTGCGCCAACGGCTTGCTTTGGGAGTTTGAACAGCGTGTCAACTGCTTCTGTGGTTTGTCCAAGATTTGTGCAAGTTGCCTGTTGCTCCTGTTTGGTGTTTGGAAGTGATTTGTGATGGAAAAGACCACTCCGGCCTGGCTGTTGGCACACAACCGGGTTGGACCCTCGCGTCAAACTCGACTCGATGTTTCACTTGGGCTGCCAAAGAACCGCAAAGGCTCAGGCGTTGAAAAGCGATCGGCGCATTTTGCCTTAGCCGGAGGGCCTTGGGTTTATTTGCTTTGACTACCTGGGGAGGTCGGAATTTTGCTTCCCCCGCATTCTGCACAAGCGATGCCTATGCGTTGGGATCTCCCCGCAGCGGACCAAATGCCGAGCGCCCCCTTTGCGGCCACTCCATGGAATGGCGTCCCTCTTTTCCCTGCAACAGACTTGGGTTTGTTAGATCTGGACCGCCCGGGTCCCTTGCGCCGCGGCGCCATCCGATCACGGCAGCTCCAACAATCTCCGACCATGACAGCTGTGACAGAGTTGACCCAGACCGCAAGCGGCGGCCACATGAGGCCACAGTCAGGAGGCTTCCGCCAACACCTCGACCGGACAGCACTGACAGACCCTGCAGCTCCCATCAGTGACCGCATTTTGAGGCTTCACCAGCGGGCCAATTTGGGTGTTCTCGCAAAGCGGCCGGCGCGACACTACCAATTTCAGCCACTTTAAATTCATACAACAGATTGCAACAGCGTTTGTAGGTATGAATTCTTGCGGGGATGGCTCGAAGTAAAGTAGTCTTGGAATTGATAACATTTAATAATCAATGTCCAAAACTGAGGCCTCAAATCCTGTTTGCTTCTAGAGTGGTAAGGCCACAAAGGCGGATACCTCGTACACTAAGGCCATATGACACACTCGGTGGTGTTTGATGTCGGTTTGTTTGTTGTGGGGAGCCCTGGGCTGAGACATCTTGGGCCTAGGGCCCGATCCGCGCGTCGGAGAACAAACACCAGGAAACCCTTGCCACGTACTTCGGGCGGCGGCGTTGTCGTATCGTCAAACTCCGTAGCCCGGATTGCTTGCACCTTGCGGGAAGACTTAAAACGAGCAGCAAGCGAATCACCGGCTCAGAGTCCTTTTTTCAGTCCAGGCGCCCTGTTTGGCATGCCTTACTTCCGTTGGCTTCAGCATTTAGCCTCACGTTGTCTGCCAAACAACTATAATGGTGCATTCCCAGAGCTGCGCACCAGTTCTGCTTCTCTGGAGTGCCCTTGCAGTGGCGAGCGCTCGCCGCTTTGACGAGTCCGGCGATGACGATGACCACTTGAATGGGCTGGGGTGTTACTGCAAGCGTGTGAGTTCCGAGGATCTCTTGGGCAAAGATCCACAGTGAGCTGATGTATGAATGTTTTATTGTTGCACTCCTGACGTACGCTAAAGTGTTCCACACTAGTTTGTTCTTAGGGCAGGTGTAAGGGTTCTGTGTCGGAGACAAATGTTTCCTCATGTCAGTAAAAGCATCTCTCATCCTTGGGATCTGGGTTAAGTTTTGATGGGTGGGCGCAACACAGAGATACTGCTGCGAGTAGCGCTCTGCGCACATCAAGTTCCACGTTCAAGCTTTCTTTTCCGGGCAGGACGAGTGCCCAGATGAAAAGACTGACACGATGGGGCCTGACCGATACCGCTTCTACCACTCGGAGGAGAAACAATGTTGCAAGATGTCATACACCTCCGTATTCACCTGGAAGGGCTGGAGTCACTTGGCAGGATTCGGAAGCTCTGCTTTTTAGAAGTTAGTGTGTCGGCTGTCATGACATTCCATATGTCACTGTTCCAAGAAGACACCACACTATGTGCAGCTCGTAGGGCGTGCTTTTCTGGCGTTGAGGGATTAAAACAGGAGGTGGAATTCAGCTCCTTCTCAAGGTTTTAGACATGATTGATAGACCCCTTCGAATTTTTGACGGCGGATTTTCTCAGCTAACGGCCATCCAACACTACTTTAAAGGGACAGAGAATGTTGGCAAAGCAAAGCCAACTGAACAATTTGTTGGTACCCCCAAAATCCCCTCCGATTACAGACACTCCCGGCCCCCCCCAGCAAAAATCCAGAAGCAGCAGCAATAGCAGCAGCAGTTTTTCCCTGTTGGCAGAGCCTGCTCTCAATAGCCCTCGCTAGTCTTCTGCCACTTTCGCCCTCAGTGCCTCCCTCGATTCGGAGGGGGCCCCAAGGGACCATCTAAAATCTGGTTTTTCCGGACCTTGTCAACCTTGGGGGGGTACTATCAAGTTGATACATTACTTTCACACTCCCTTGAGCGTCGATACTATACTTGTGGAAGCTTGTGAAAGGAGGGCATTTGTTGGTGGATTTTTTCATGTTTTCTTTAGGATTGTTTCCTGGATTTGCCTTACCTGGCTTTTCATAGCTTCTTGGCTTTTTGGCCTTTGTCTTTTGGAGTCTGGGCTTTTTGGCTTGTGGCTTTTTGGTTTCTCGGCTTTTGGCTTTTTGGCTTTTCGGCTCTTAGCTTTTTGGCTTTACTTTTTGCGGATCCTCAGCTTCACCAGTAACACCCCAGCATCACCGGCTTTGGGCTTTTTGGATTTTTGGTTGGTGGCTTCTTTCCTCCCACGTTTCTGTAGTTGGGGGGGCCTGCGCCTCCCCCAACAACCCCCGCTTCTTTGCAGGGCGTGCGGCTTTCCAAAGGCAAACCCAAAACCCTGAACGAACCCCAACGAATCCAACGCCTACCCTAAACCCACGTTTTGGCCCAACACCAACCCTAAACCACCACTACACCCTTAACCGCCACTTAAGCTAGAACCTTAAAACCAAACCTAAGCCAACCCTAAAGAAACCCTGAAGTAACCTTAAACCAGCAAGACTCCCTAAAGAAACCCCTAAACAAACCCACCCTAAACCAGCAATAGACTATCCCTAAACCAACTCTACACCCACCCTAAACCAACCCTAAATCCCAACCAGCCTAAGCCAATCCCGAAACCCACCCTAACCCCACCCAAGCCAACCCTAAGTCGGCACTAAACAAGCGCAAACCCACCCTTAAACCCCCCCCACTAAGCAAACCCCATACCAACCCTAATCCCCACTAAACCCACCCTAAACCAACCCTAAAACCGATCCCTACCCCCCCCACTAAACCAACACTAAACTCACCCTAAACCAGACCTAAACCCACCCTAAACCAAGCCCACTAAACCATCCCAGTACCAAAAGCGCAGCCCGCAAACTTGCCCTAAGCCTGGAACCCATGAACCAACCCCTGCCAACCTTGAACCCACCAACACGGCCGAACCAATCCAACTCCTGATGCCGGGGATGTCAGCGCTGCTGCAAAACGAGTCAAACCACAGGAGAACCAAGGGAGATCGCACCTGCCAGTTTCAAGACAGAAAATCCAGGAAGACAAACAAAAATAAAAACGGGGAAAACATCCAAAAAACGGGACCCCTTGTCAAATGTAAGACACACAGAAGCAATAAGATGGAATGGGCCGCAGAAGAACTCTTGATCCTGCAGAAGGGGCGCAGAAGGGCAGAGGCTTGAGTCATGTCCAATCACTTCGACAGGGTGTAATATCCAGATGCTTGCGGGTGGCAGCAAAATGCACGTCTATGCTGGTTGCAAGCTTGAACAAATGATACTTTGGTGGGCTTCTTGCCAGAGGGGCAGCTGGTGGCGGGCCTTGAACATACGTATTCAGTACCACTGTTGCGCAACTGACTGCACGGGCGACTGATTTTGACGACAAACTTGGCAGGGTTTTGCTCCAGCAACAACAAGGGAACCTGCACGACGCTACTGTGTTTCTGCGTCGGAAAAACTGTTCTTGAAGGGCTCGGGGCACCTGCAAGAAGAGCAGGGCGTTTGGCGTGTTCTGACGTTTGGCTGCTGCGATGAAGCTGGTGTGGATGCCTTTGCACGCGCTTACCAAATTTCTGCATAGGAATCCGCACAGCCTGCTGAGGGTTAGCGTTTTTTGTGAGGCTACAAGAAGCAGAAGGACTTGTCACTGTGCGACAATGAGACGAAGGATATGTCAGAGTCCTGTTGCACTGTGGAGGACCGCTTTGGACTCTTGGCTTCCTGTTTTGAAATCGTCAGTGTGACCCCAAGGGCTGAATTTGCCGTTGGGGGTCAATGCCTTGAACGACTTGCAACTAGCCTAGGTTGAAGTTCTAAGTGGGGTGCACGCAGGGCACGCTGGCAGTTTGTCCTTGGTGGCATGACAAGTGAGAGTTGCATGTTACGCCAGCAGATGTAAGAGAAAGGCTGGTTGATTCAGACGCCTTGCTGAGGATCATTCAGCGTCCGTTTGCGCGCAGCGACTGCGAAACTTGTCATGCTGGTGCAGAGGAAGAGATACGAAGACGGATATGACCGAGACTTCAGGAGATGGGTGATGAGCCGTTCGCCTAGCGCGCTGCAACGTGGCCCAGATGAGCGAGTTTCACATGAGTGACATCTGAAATGGCATGGGCCCACATGAGTGACAGTGAAGCCATGAACATCCTACTCAAATCGATTATTTTCAAGATCATCATTGAAAGAAGCCCTGAATGGACAAACCTACTGCTTTGAGAAGCGCGGGCGGACCCCTCAACAGAGTGATCACATTGCGGAGCCAGATTGGTATCCCCTTTGCTTGAACAGCGACCTTGCAGGATGTGGGAGAAGTTGAAATGGATCAAGTTGCATTCAGCTCCTCGCAAAGGAGCTTGAGTTGTATAGAGTTTTCCTTAGTGCGGATTCTTGCACGGCACTGGACCATCCCTCTTTGCCCAGACATGCGCGCTAACGGCTTGGCAGTTGACCGTTTTGCCTGAGATCGGACCCTGGAGGAAGAGCTTGCCCTACTTTCAGATAGAGGACATCATTGGTGCAACAGACTTCGACGGCAAACCGCTGAATGTGTCAGACGTGCAGGCTCGACCACGACATTGTTTTTGTTGCTTCACGCCAGGTCGGTCGAGACAAGCGACTAGACATGCAGTGAGTAGATAGGTGCTGAGAATGTTTGGTGCTGTGGGTCCGCTGGATCATGTTTTGTGTGCTTGTAGCATCAGCATCATGTTGGATGTCATTCACTTTGGGAGTGTGCACCAGTGTTTGCTAGTGTGCGTCCGGGTTTGTTTTTCTGCTTTCTTGCGTTTGCCCGTGTTTGTCAGTTTTTGCAATGTACAGTCTGTGTTTTTGTTCTGTTTGCCTGCCTACCTGCCTGCCTGCCTGTCCCTGCCCCCTGCCTGCCTGCCTGCCTGCCTGCCTGCCTGCCTGCCTGCCTGCCTGCCTGCCTGCCTGCCTGCCTGCCTGCCTGCCTGCCTGCCTGCCTGCCTGCCTGCCTGCCTGCCTGCCTGCCTGCCTGCCTGCCTGCCTGCCTGCCTGCCTGCCTGCCTGCCTGCCTGCCTGCCTGCCTGCCTGCCTGCCTGCCTGCCTGCCTGCCTGCCTGCCTGCCTGCCTGCCTGCCTGCCTGCCTGCCTGCCTGCCTGCCTGCCTGCCTGCCTGCCTGTTTTGTGTCTATCTGTTTGTTTGCTTCTAGCATTGCTTGTTTGTGCGTGATTGAGCGTGTATTGATATGTTTGTGCTTTCTTGCGCTCTTGCAATCACGTGCTTGTTTGCGCGCTTACATTCTTGTTAACTTGACATTTCTTCCTGCATGCTTGATGGCTGGCTCGCTCGGCTGCTTATAAGTTGCTGATTGGTTTGTCTGTTCCAGGAGTTTGTTCGCATGCAGCTGGACCAGCCGGATCGTTTCGCTGCACACCGCAGCGAGTCTCCAGACCGCTACAATGACGAGCGCTTGTTCTGCAATCGCGGCTTGAGGAACGTCCCCACAGCTGATAGCACCTGCCAGCTTCGCAAGTCCCCCGACAGGCAGTGCGTCTTGGTAGCAAAGGGGACGACTTGTCTCTGTGGTCTTGGAGCATCTGATTGTTCATTTTTTCCTGATACACTAATGTTATGTTTACATATGTGTATCACTGCACTGCTGATGTGTGTGTGTGTGTATGTGTGTTGCTTCAAAAAAGGAATATCTACATTCAAGGGCTTCGCCCCGCACCTTGCAACACAGACAGCGACAGAGACAGAGAGACAGAGAGAGAGAGAGAGATGTCAAACTACATGCTTCACTTCTTGGATTTGTGTTGCATGTATGTTCACTACCGCAGGCCTTGAGCTTACTACTCCGCATGAGTCGTTGGCAGCTGCAGAGTACATTGGTTGACTGTTTGTTTGAACACTACAGCACTTGCACTTGCACTTGTAAGCAAAGTAACAACTAAGTTTAACGTGGTAGCGGAGCTGAGATCCTAAACATAGGGGAGCTCCAGGAAGCAGTAAGCACTACAACCACAGCAACAGCAGTCACGTGCCAAACTACTACGACATGTCAAGAGAAGCAGCATCAGCCTCAGCACAACAAACTACAGGAGCAGAGAACGGGCCAACCGCAGACACAGTAGGAGCCACAACTACGGGAGCAGGAGCAGAACAAGACAACGACGTTCAGAGACTACATAGATACAAACTGCCACCACCCTTCTGGTGACTACTCCCAGTATGAAGAATGGCTGTTCAAGCTACAAGCATACCTCGGCCTCATAGACCGAGACTTCGACCTGGTGCTACAACTAGCACAAGTGGCTACACGACAGATTGAGGACACAGACATCAGAACACACATACTCGACCCTACACAAGCAAGCAAAGCAGTAGACCTCTCCAGAGATCTACACTACATCCTCATCAACATCTGTCAGGGAGCAGCAGCTATAGTAGTAAGGCAAAACCGCTACAACGCAAACGGATGTGAAACACTACGACTACTACACAACAGGTTCAGCCTACCAGTAGGAACAAGAAGCGTTGGCTACCTTACCAAACTACGGGAACCTACATTCAAAGAAGCGCAGTTTGAAGAACAATTTCTACAATGGGAATACGACATCAACCGCTACGAGAAAGACAATGGAACAGCACTACCAGATGGAATCAAAATAGCTATACTACTCAACAAAACCAAAGGAGCACTGCAGCAACACCTCCAACTGCGAGCTGGACAGATCACGAACTACATCGAGATCAGAGCACTCATCTTGGACTACTACAAGACGATTTCTGCCTTCACTAGATCTACTTCAGCAGTAGGAACAAACTACAATGGAGGAGCTGCACCAATGGATGTTGACAACATATGGAGGAAAGGAAGAAACTACAAAGGCAAAGGAATAGGAAAAGGCAACTACAAAGGAAGCAAAAGCAAAGGCAAATATAGGAGTAAAGGGCACTACAAAGGATTCGACAAAGGCAGCAAAGGAAACTACAACAAAGGAGGATACAACAAGAGCAAAGAAAAAGGCTACTCAGGATCCAAAGGATATGGATCAAGCAAAGGCTACAAAGGCCAAGGGAACTACAGCAAATCAAAAGGAAAAGGAAGCAACAACTACACAACATGCCATCGATGTGGCAAGCCTGGCCACTGGGCACAAGACTGCAGAGTGCCAGTATGGCACAGAGGAGAAGGAGAAGAACTACATCCACTAGAACAAGAACAAGTAGATCATGACAACAATGTAGAACTACATCAGGATGTGAACGACACCTGGGACTGGTACTACGAAGGAGAAGAAGGACAACACGAGGTGAACTACATGGAGGAGAACTGGAACGACTACGACTATGACAACAGCTGGGATTGGAATGACAACAGCTATGAGGACAAAGAAAACTACATTGGAGGCATCAACGAGTCACACCTCACCATTGGACACATCAGACAAGCAAAGTCACGACTACACAAGCACAAATCCAAATCACTACTTGGTAAGAGAACAACACACACAACATCATGGAACGACCACAGCAGAGCTTTCAACAGTTCTTACAAGAAGACACCACACAGCTACACTTCGACATAGCAGCAGCAAGACAACAACAAAGGAACAAGAAGATTGAGGACACTATCACACACTGCATCATGTACTCCAACTTCAAGTCATACCACCACCTGTTGATCGACTCAGGAGCACCTACACATGTTTGCCCGAAGGACTGCGCACCAGACCTACCGCTACGATTTTGTGGAGAATCAGTTCCACAACTCTACACGGTCACCAACAAGAAGATTCCTGTCTACGGCATCACGTACGTTCCCTACAAGCAGGACAACTTCAGGATCATGATGCCCTACTACGTTTGTGATGTGAAGTATCCAATCCTCAGTGCATCGAGACTACTTGATAGAGGATATGGACTTGACTTCACTCCACGACACTGCACCATCACACATGGACAACAACATGCACACCTCACAAGACGCTCAGGACTTTTCTACCTACGAGCAGAGAAGTTCGACATCCCTACAGGATTCGGCATCTACCCAATGACTACAGACAATGGAAAATCCATTGCTGTGATTCAACCTACAGAGAAAGCAGCACAACAACAAGAACAAATTGCACCACTCACCCACACAGACCAAGGACTACGACAGATCCTTGGTGGAATCACTGACTACTGGAAACTTGATGGTGACTACGCCATCAGAGTACACAAACGACCACGCAAAGCATTGTTCACACCATACAACAGTGGTTGCCCAATACCAGAAGGAGAACTAGATGATTGGCGACTAACCATCATCAGCAGACAAGGGCAAGAGCAAGAACAACTATAGTGAGTATCTATCAGTTAGCACTTTTTAGCAGGCGGCACAGTTAGCACATCCCTGATTTGGCCGGAATGCCCCCGTCAGCCCCGAACAGTTAGCACACACCTGCCACACCCCGAAACCGAAAAGGGCGACCAACAGTTAGCACATGCCTCTCTGGTTGTGGGCAGAGATACGCTTTCTGAAATAAGCAACTTTCGCAATGCAGCACAAGTGTAGTAAAGGAAGTACATTTTGGCAGCTCCGGCTCGAAAGTCGCAACTTTTCAGCACAAGTGTAGTACAAGATGTGTGCTTTGGCAGCTCCAGCCCGGACGTCTCAACTGTTTAGTACAAGTGTAGTGAAGGAAGTTCGCTTTGGCGGAAGTCTCAAGTTTTCACTACAAGGAAGTATGCTTTGGCAGCTCCGGCTCGAAAGTCGCAACTTTTCAGTACAAGTGTAGTAACGGAAGTACATTTTGGCAGCTCCGGCTCGAAAGTCGCAACTTTTCAGCACAAGTGTAGTACAGGATGTATGCTTTGGCAGCTCCAGCCCGGACGTCTCAACTTTTTAGTACAAGTGTAGTGAAGGAAGTACGCTTTGGCAGCTCCTGCCCCGGAAGTCTCAAGTTTTCACTACAAGGAAGTATGCTTTGGCAGCTCCGGCTCGAAAGTCGCAACTTTTCAGTACAAGTGTAGTGAAAGAAGTACACTTTGGCAGCTCCAGCTCGAAAGTCGCAACTTTTCAGTTCAAAAGCGTAGTATACAAGTATAGTAAAGGAAGTACACTTGGGCAGGTCGGGCTCAAAAGTCGCAACTTTCCAGCACAAGGAAATACATTTTGGCGGCTCCGGCTCGAAAATCGCAACTTTCCAGTACAAATGTAGTAAAGGAAGTAGATTTGGCAGCTCCAGCTCGAAAGTCGCAACTTTTCGGTAAGTACATTTTGGCGGCTCCGACGCGAAAATCGCAACTTTCCAGTACAAGTATAGTAAAGGAAGTACACTTGGGCAGGTCGGGCTCAAAAGTCGCAACTTTTCAGTACAAGTGTAGTGAAAGAAGTACGCTTTGGCAGCTCCTGCCCGGAAGTCTCAAGTTTTCACTACAAAGAAGTATGCTTTGGCAGCTCCGGCTCGAAAGTCGCAACTTTTCAGTACAAGTGTAGTGAAAGAAGTACACTTTGGCAGCTCCAGCTCGAAAGTCGCAACTTTTCAGCACTCTCGCGTAGTAAAGGAAGTACATTTTGGCGGCTCCGGCTCGAAAATCGCAACTTTCCAGCACAAGTATAGTAAAGGAAGTACACTTGGGCAGGTCGGGCTCAAAAGTCGCAACTTTTCAGTACAAGTGTAGTGAAAGAAGTACACTTTGGCAGCTCCAGCCCAGAAATCAACTTTTCAGTACAAGTGTGGTAAAGAAAGTACACTTTGTGAGCTCAAAAGTCGCAACTTTGTGTAGCAAAGGAAGTATAGATTTGGCAGAAAAGTCCAGTACAAGCGTAGTAAAGGATGCCATAAACATGGAAACTTGTCAAAACCCAGTTAGCTTATGAGGGAAAGAGGGTGAGTGGTAGACTGGCTCACATGGAGCTTGCATGGATGAGTGACGCCAATTGCAAGACAAGAGTGTAGATGGATTACCTGCCAACTTCCAGCCATTTGCCGTGTGGAAATGCCCTGGAACTGCCGGCCATCCTCAAAAACAGGGATCGTGCGTTCCCCTGCTCACGTCCTATTCTTTCCCAGATAGCCGTCAAATGCCCCATGTTTTCTGTTTGTCCACGCCGTGTCGGTCTAGTCGACATGCATGTATTGAAGCAAGTAAACCGCTTTGGTGGGAGGGCGCTGCAACAGCCGACAGACAGAAAGACAGGCACACAGACACACAGACACAGACAGACAATCAGACAGACAGACAGACAGACAAACAGACAGACAGACAGACAGAAGACGCACGCAGAATCACCTCCTAAGCAATAAGTTGTATTCTCCTCAACCCTGTGAAAACCAAGACCAGGTATACTCTAGCAGAGCTGGAGAGCGGAAGTGCCTAGAAAGGACATATCCCCAGAGGAAGAAAAAGAAAGCATCCCCTGCCCCACACATACCTCTTTTTGGTCGAGTTGGCTGCCGCGCTTGGGTTGGTGGTGGAGTGGTCCTTTTCTTTGTCTCCTCCAAACTTTTTTCTTTCTATCTTTCTTTCAGCACTTCCTTTCCTTTTATCTATCTAT